TGAATCATTGCAGTCACGAAAGCTTCAAATCTAGAAATAAGTAGACAATTCTCCTGCTTGGAGGGCACAATGAAGGTCGAGTGACAATGTCACGTGATGTAGTTTTGCATCACAGGAGGACCCTCAGAGAAGAGTTCTTGCTTATGTATAGTGTACGTTGAACTTCTTGTGTATGTAGAAATTATTTCGCTCTGTACGTAGCCAACCGTGCTAATCAGAGATGTGGGGAAAGGACAACAAACTAAACAAAAAGCAACTCTAAATAAATTAATTTTCAATCGAGATTTAAAAATGAATAGCTCCAGTCGCATCCTAACCTGGGCGCGCCACGGTGGCTGGGAGATGTTATACACAACCTCCTGGTATACGGGAGGTCGTGGGTGACCCTGACGCCTGCTGCTGCTGTATATTTGGAGATTGCATCTCTCTCCCCGGGGTCGCGTGGATTTTTCCACGGGTCCTCCGGTTTTTTTCCCTCCATATTTATAATCAACATCACGCGTTTATTTGGCTGCTATGCATTTCCACAATATAAGCCACTTCGTTGAGCGAGCCTTTGTGGCCAGGTTGCATCTGAAAAAAGCTTTATAGCTCAGTGAGCCTTGCCTGGTGAAATAAAAAAACCTGCCTGCTGACGATAAGACACTGAATGTCGAAACCGATCCAGAAGTTGCTTGTATTAAACCAATTCTGTTGAAGTATGAGATTAGATTTTCCCCTTTTATCTGGCAACAAAACAGGTGTTAAGATGTTAAAACACCAAACTGAAACCTTTTACAAGGAATCATGTCTGCATTAACCACAATACTTTGAAACTGGTCCACACCAGAGACAGTTTTCTTTCGAGCCGAGTCCCAAAACGCTGTTAGACCAGAGGACGCCAAAAGGCGTACGGCACAAAGACAACTTCACTATCAGAGTAATGAGAGCTCGGGTGAAGCAGCTACATCATGGGACCTCCTTTGCTAGTACCAAAATATGTAAAAGGTTTCAGTGTGGTTTAACATCTTAACACCTGTTTTGTTGCCAGAAAAACGGGGAAAACCTCATCTCATATTTTGGTACTAGCAAAGGAGGTCCCAATTCTGTTGAAGTTATGCACTCCCAGATAGCTGTGTGACAGATTAAACGTGTAAAACATACCCTTATCGGTATTGTGAAGAGGCCGATAGAATATGAAGGCGTCTTGTGTGCTGCTGATCCTATTTACTTTTCACTTAAAATCGGATGACACACTCGAGCCACTGGATGGCACCAGAGAGGCAACGTGGAAGTTGCCTGTACAATCTTGATTTGAAGCTTGTACAGTTGCTTTGTAAATGCACTGTTCTGTCGTTCGCGTTGCGTGTACTTACACAATCTACAGCCCATCATCGCGAAGGTCATCGTCCGCAAAAGATAAATCCACGATTAATAGCGAATATTTGTTGAGTGAAGCAGCCCCGCCGGTTCGGGTTGTTTTGCGTCCTAGGCCACCAACTGGCGGCCAGGAGCACGCGGCTCAAGGGCGTCCGCTGCTCGTGTGGCCGTGTTGGTGAATTCGTGACTGGGTTCTGGGTGTGCTGTTGGGTTTAACTGTCCTGTAGCTGGTGGTGGTGTTGGTCAATCAAGGACAAGGCCAAGTGAAGAACGTTCTCTGGGGGCAGTCATGTCCTACAGGAGTCGAGGTCTCATGGGCATGGGCCTGGTGGCCGTGAGCGCATGGGCTTCGTGGATGCTGCTCGGGCCTTCTCCGGAGCGTAGCCGGAGCATTGAGAAGGTGCAACTCAGTTTTGTCTTCATGATTTTTACTTTTCGGCCCTTCTGTCAGTCCACCATTGGATGAAGGCCTCTCCGCTGTCAGTCATGAATGTGCCTTGTTTGACCACACTTCACCGCGCATGTCACTGGCTTGGTGAGGGGTTTTTTGGGGGGGTTGACAGGTAAGGACCTGATATATCGTTCGCCACTGATGATAGCCGTGTTCAGGAATCAAACTCAGCCGGGTTCTGAGGGAAATGCGCTAACTGCTGTACCACCGCTCCAAGCCAGGTTTAAACTTTGTTACAGCCATACATCCACTAGCGTGTGTTTGTGGTGTGGCTTACGATTAGGCATGCAGCGATTTCATTCATGCTCCGATCACGATACGCACAGCGACGTGCGTTCGAGAATTAACACAACGTGCTTGTGAAATATCTGAATTGTGGATATTTATTGTGCCAAGTCCTTAACATTCACTAGATAAACATTTGAAAGTCAAAATGTCACAATTTGTCAAGTATCAGGCGGTAAAACTGATACAAGAATCGTATCAATAGCTTGAATAGCTCATGAATATGAATATTACGGGAAGTAGTAACTCAACGTATCAATCACTCGTTTGGCTGTGTCGCTGTTGGAAACCATTTGGGGCAAATTAAGTGCAGCATCAAAAGTATTAGGAGTTGTTTTGTACAGTAATTGTATTTATTGGTTTAAGACCAATACATTACACTTGAGAATCATGTTTGATGAAAGGCAACCGTAACCAATTTGCAACCCAGGATCTCAAGATCTCTGTGGTGCAGGCTCATTGATTTGACACCTGGCCATCTCTGAATGTATTTATTCTACCTTAAACTGCTTTCAACAGCAAATTAAGGAAATCTCACTTAATGTTTAATACAAGCGTCCAAAGAGGTGACAGGTTATATTACTGCTTGAAATTCCTATTTCCTCTACAATAATTAGCATCCTAGAATTTGACCCAGTCCTGTTCATTGTGACCTATAGATAAGCCAGATGTTAAGACTCGTAGATAAGTATGGCAAATATCAGTGGTGATATCTGAACTAGCCCTGGGCCACCGTTCACCAACGGTGCAAACCAACTTGGTGAAATATGGTCAAACAACTCCCGTGACTCAATATGTGCGGAGGCCTTCATCTGACAGTGAACAAAGACTATGCATTAATGTTCTCCGAAACTTCCAAGCTACAAATAACACATTGTGTTATGCACACCCGCAACACACTATCCTGCATTCTGTCCTGCATTAAAGTTTAAATCGGTCAAATCATACTAAAGTCTATGGCCCAATGAGTTAACAAATATGTGATGCAGTCACGTATTATAGTATACCAATTAGGTTCAACATAGATGTAAAAACTACTTGCAAAGTTCAATTAATCATTAATTTACTCATGTGGCTGGACGGAGGTGTAATCCAGCACTATGGAGGTGAGGGTTGGTGGATCTCACAAATGTTGTGAAACTCCCTTCCAGTGGGTGTCGAGGTGTCATATCCTGGCTTGCCAAAGACAGTACAGCAAAAATGTGGACTCCACCTATGCTGCCTTATGGGATAGAGTGTTTCCCCCTCACACATGTTGGTTTTCACTGTGCTCTCAGGTTCCCTCCAACATACAAACACTCATTATTGGGATAATAACACCTTAATATATAGAAGACCGCAAAGTTTGGGCAATTGTTGGCACCAACTCATAACCCAGCTGCCTTCCTCCTTGTCTGTGGTTCTTTACGACTCTTTAGTCGTTCTTTATGAGAGTGAGTGAATACTGCACGAGTTACTAGTTAAAATTATTATGACTTGAGATCCAGTTGCATTCAGAAACTATATGAATCCAATTATTATTGTACTGCATTATAAGTATTACCATGATGTAATTCATGCTGGTGTGTGATGGATGTGCATTTACAAACAGAAAATCCAGTGCAACCCAGGCCTGCAAAGCGGAGAAGAAAAGAAGCAACAACATGCCAAGATGATGGAGGCCATTCAGGCAGCCGCCGATACCAATCGCAACGTGGCCAGAGATCCCATCACACCTTCCAAGGAGTAACAGCCTGCTGTGCCATTCATCCATGACACGAGACACAGCCTACAGGACTGTAACAGTTCTGTGAGCCCTTGGGGCAAGATTAAGATGTCATTTTGGCCAAAACCGTTGATGCCACCATATGTTTTACCCTCCTCCAGATCCTCCAGCTGCTGCACAATAGACATGCGACCTCCAAGATCTGCCCTCACAGTCTCCTGTCATATGGTCTTCAGCCTTCCCGTTGGTCGCTATACTCATGGAGACCATTCCAATGCCTGTCTTGGAAACCGGCCTTCCCCCACGCTGCACACCTCCCACCCACTGCATCCTTTTTGCCTAATTATATCGAGAAAACCTACCCGCCATGCTCTCTTCTGGACTTTTTTACCACAAAATTCATTGAGTTTGCAATGTTATTCAATGCTCTATTTGGTATCTGACATTACAGTAAGATAATGGGAGATATATGCCTGCAACACATTTTGTTGGTTGTAATACTGTATGTGCTTATATACAAAATGTATAATAAATATGTTTAGAACCATATCTATGAATGGTAACAATACAGTAATTTCACTGACATTTGCTAATGTTATCTTTTACAATACTTATTTGAGGCGGAGTCAACGTCATGGGAGGCCCAGGACCAGTTCAGATAATCGTCACTGGTGTTGGTCATGAGCGGGAATCGAACTCGATTCACCGGATTCGTAGCGCAACCCACAAATGGATCATCAGTTGGCATGATAGACATGAGATGAATAACGATAAATTAACTTCATAAAAAAAAGCTAAATATGCATTCCCAATATGTTCACACATATCGACTAAATAAGCAGCATGAATTTTGTACGCCCTCTCAGCTGTTCACAGAACTGTGACCAAATTTCTGTTGAAGTCTCTCATTTCTACATGTCGAAGTGAGAGTAAGTTGTTGCTCAACAAGAGCCCTGAAGGAAATTTGACCTACTCTTCTACGCTGCCAAACATCTTGCAAGGGGTGGGAGTACCCACACTTTACCGCACCAAATACAACCTGCCAATCGACTGTGCTATGCTCATACTGCTGGGTGAACAGAGGCGATGGAGAATAAATAATATTTCCCCATTGTTTCAACTGCCGTGCCAGCCGATCGAATTGAACTGACGACCTCTTAAATGGAAGTGCAGTGTACCAAACAATACACCACAGTAACATCATTTCCAAATAGGTACTGTATTTTACACTCTAAAGCACTTTGACCGACAAAAAAATAAAGTTCTGCCACTTGTTTTTGCATTGACCCTTCGATGGTTTTCAACTAGTCTTAAAATTAATCCATAAAAGCAGAACTTATTTACATACACATTGAAAAACATGCAAACAGAGAAGTTGGCTCACAGAACTGTTAAGCAATTATATTTAAAAAAAGTGTTTAATGGCTTACTGCTTATAATAAATCAGTCCAAATCAATGCAACACCTCTACCAAGCGCATATGCGAGGTTGCATGTGTTTGCTTTTTATGATTGCATGTATATTTGGATAAATGTATGAACGCATAAATGGTGCGAAAGAAGTTAAACATACATGCATGTCGGAATGTGCGTATAAATTAATATTGTAATGCATGCAAGTATGAATACATACGCATAAGAACACGTTAGAATGCATGTCTGCATATACATCGGATGAATGTATTCATGTATATATGAATGTATGACTACATGTGGATGTTCTTGGTTCTTTCGGTAAAGTCACATAGAAGGGAAACAATACCGAAATAACCAAGAATATGAATCCCTGCAGTCACGAAAGCTTTAAATCAAAATTTACACGTGGATGGTTGTGTTGGTGGATGTATGAATGCACATGTGCATCAATTCTGCAGGAATCCATACTCTTTGGTTCTTTCGGTAAAGTCACGTAGCTAGAAAATGAAACAAAAAATAATATATCACGACGTTTCGATCGCAACATAAGCGATCGATACGTGATATATTATTTGTTTTATTTTTCTACCTACGTGACTTTATCGAAATAACCAAAGAGTATGAATTCCTGAGGATTTGCATCAATACTGAGGCATCAACGCATATTCTTCTTGCATGCCATAGCTACTAGGGTTACTGCGCCATGGCAATACTATGATATATTGTAGAATATATAAACATCGAAGGTAATTAATGGTTTTCGTAAGTTGCACGGTTGGAATTTGTTTTGAAGGGAAAAAAATGTGCATGCAGGCAGCTGAAGAGGCAAATAGCCAAGGAGGTCCTCATGTCCAATTGCCAGTGGATGTTTATAAAGGGCTGCCAAGTGGAAGGGCTGAGCCTCCAAGGCAGATGACCCTCGGTATGGCTTTGTCATCCCGTCAGTAGGACAGGAGGCTGCGCTGGGGTGATGTTATCTGCCTCGCCTGGTATACAGCAGGTTATGGGTTCGACCCTGACGCCTGTTGTAAATTTGGAGCTTTGCGTGTCTCCGTGGTCGCGTGGATTTTTCTCCGGGGTTTCCGGTTTTACCCTACATATTGTGAATCAACATCACACGTTTAGAGTATTTGGCTGCTATTTAGACGTGATGATAAGCCACTTGAACTATCATTTGTGACCAGGTCGCTTCTGAGAAAGAACTATACAGTCGGCTTTAGCTGATAAAAATGGTACATAGTATATAGACTCCTTGCCCCCTCTTCTCATGCCCGTGTCTGAATACTGGGTTCAAGTTTTAGAACCCTGAAAAACCACATCCCAGTAAATGTTGTCTTCCGCCTCTTCATTCCGAGTGGATGTCCTTGCTGTGAAAAGACATTACATTCCAGGATTGTTTAAGCTGCAATGGCCAACTATTATATAAAATGCATATGAAAGTCAAAGTTTAATAACGCTGTGAATACGAGCAGAGTTACGTCTTGCAACCATAACTATAACCATAGCTACATTGACAAATAAAACGTCACCATAACCACATTATGACAACCATAACCACAATATAACCACGTCGTATGTAACTTCTTTCGCACCGTACGTAGCCAACCGCGCTAATCGGAGATTGTGGGGGAAGGACAACCAAAACGTAACCACAATCATAGAACATTATAACGACATTGTTTACGATAGACATAACCATAATCACCACACTATAACCGCAACTAAATTCTACCCACAACACCCATAACAACACATTATAATCACAACATAACTACAACAGGCACAATTTTACCTAATCTCTGGTGTGTTTAAGACAAAATCGCGAGTTTTCCCACCAACAACCCGAGCACAAAGCGGGGGGGGGGACATGAGCAGTGACTTGTAAATACAATTTTTTTTCCTGTTTTAGCACTTTCATTTACAATAAAAAAAAATTTGCATATTTGCACACCTGTCATATTTTCCAGGGAATGTCCTCGATAGTAAATAGTGATCATTATATGATTACTCTTTGGTTCTTGCGGTAAAGTCACGTAGAAAGAAATGTAATTAAATAATAGAATACGGCGTTCCGATTGCAACACAAGCAACCATCATCAGGTCATTTGTACCTGATGATGGTTGCTTGTGTTGCAATCGAAACGTCGTATTCTATTATTATTGAATTTCTTTCTACGTGACTTTACCGCAAGAACTAAAGAGTAATTCCTGCAGTCACGAAAGCTTCGAATCTAGTTCGTTTTATGATTGTTTTCCCTCTGATGTGCCGTTTGCGAGCTCCTGCCAAGTTTTTATTTTGCAGTATAGGTGGACTTTATTGCTATCTCAGGTAATTTCCAGGACCATGACGCCAGCACACAATAGCCTACTCTTTCAAATGATGTAAGGGGATCTTTGTCCGCTGTGAAGACGGAGCGCAGTATTGTGGCTTATATACCGACAGTGGTGTTTCCTCGTTATTTGCGATACGTCGCGACGATGCATGGCAATAGCAATTTTCGTTGAGAATTATATCGGCCTACGAGAACCTATCTTGTATCTCATCACTTTATCTCTCGTGACTTTATATCTTATCACTTTGTCGTATGACATTCTCTCTCATCACTTTATCTCATACATTTCTCTCTCTCTCGATGCAGTCACGTCGAGTTCCATATGTGATGCACGGATCGCCAAAATTGAGGGAATAATGAGGGAATACTGGATTCATCAGGGTGGCTGCTGGATTTGAGCCTTGAACTTCTACAACAAGCGGAGGCGATGTCACCACCCTATTCACAACGTCTGTGCAGTCTCTCAAGCTGCATCATCAAGATTGAGTGGCAGTCATCAGATGGTCACTGACCAAAGGAAACATTCAGATTGTTGGATGTTTTAAGGCTCGGTCTGGGGGATCGGTTGTCACTTTTGCAACTACAGGATCTAGAAAAAGGAAGCAATGACAGGTGTGGTGGCAATAAATGCAATTGGCTGTGATGACCCCACAACCTTTAACCTTAAATAAAACTCATGCAAATAATTACAGATAAATATGACTTACCGTTTCTTTTCTTTAAAATAATAAACACGAGCACAAACATTAAGGCTAAGAAGCATGCTGTTCCGTATATAATGTATTTCCATTCAAGAGTACCTGTTGAAAGTAAATGCATTCATTTACCAAATGTTACCTGTAATACATTTATTTTGGTATCAATATTTTTTATATATTACTCTTGTGATAAGACTTAGAAATTGCAACCCAGTGAAACCAATTACCTCAAGGTATTGCAGTGATTAACTCATTTATATCATACATATTATTTCATTCTTTGCATTAAGGTAGGACAATATCATCCATTTCTATTTAGAAATGTTTGTAACGTGGGAGGAATACAGAATACCTGGAAAATCCCACCCATAAAAGCTGGTAACACTCAAAGCTCTGCACCGATAGTTTCAATAATCCAATGTACTGCCATCTAACAATCTAATAATTTCATTTACACAAAGTTGGTTTTAAAAGTGGCATCTATATTATGAAAAAGTGTAAAATACTCGATGTGCATACTGCTTTAAACATTTTATGGATAACCTGTAAATATAGCTTTGCATTTCCTACACAAGCTGACACGCTGAGATAATCTTTACTGGTTGGTAGGTATGCTCATTGACTAGAGGAAATGGCAGATAGAATGCAGTGTTTCATATTCTTAACTCTTTCGGTAAAGTCATGTTGAAGGGAAACAATAAAATAATAAAATATATAAAACAATACAAAATTCTCACGACGTTTCGACGATAACGCAAACGGTCATCATCAGGTGTGAAAAAAAAAACAACGACAAGAAACATTTGAAGGAAGTGTCGGTTTGCATTTATTTATTTATAAACGGTGTTTTATTTCTTTATAAAAAAAAACGTTAGCACCACGGGCAGCGATTTGGCAGTTTGTTTAGGACGAGTCCATCTATGTTCTGAAAAGAGGAGGGGGGAGACGAAAAATTAATGTATGCTGTCTGAAAGCCACCGTAAGCGTGAACAATCAATTAAGACCTTCTAAATAAACTGCCAAATCGCTGCCCGTGGTGCTAATGGTTTTTATAAATAAATACAAACACCGCTTAAAAATGAATAAATAAATGCGGACCGCCACTTCGTTCAAATGTTTCTTGCCGTTGTTTTTTTTCCCACACCTGATGATGACCGTTTGCGTTATGGTCGAAACGTCGTGATAATTTTTATTGTTTTATATGTATTTTATTATTTTATTGTTTCCCTTCAACGTGACTTTACCGAAAGAGCTAAGAATATGAATTACTGCAGTCACAAAAGCTTTAAATCAAAATAGAATGCAGTGTGTTAACGCTGTACACATTCTCTTTGGTTTTATTCGGTAAAGTCACGTAGGTAAAATAAAATAAAACAAAATAAAATAAAACAATTATTTTGTTTAATTTTGTTTTACCTACGTGACTTTACCGAATAAAACCAAAGAGTATGAATCCTTGCAGTCACGAAAGTTTCAAATCTAGAAGCTGTACACATATTCAACACATAAGACAGTGCAGTGCTCACTTTCAAACTGCAACACAATGACACCCTGGAGCAATGATGGCAGGTTTATACCGTGTACCACGCAGCCACACATCTTCCCATAGTGGTCTGCTGATGGTGTGAAGTTGAACGTGCTTGTGACATGGAAAGTTCCATCTGGAAGTTCTGTTTTATTCTCGTGATCCTCTCCAGTGATGACATCCTTGCACCAGGTGATGTTTATCAAGTCTCTGGGGTACACGCTCGCCACACTGCAGCTCAGAGTAGCCGGCTGTCCAATCATCAGTACTGGTACATTTTGCTGTGCGAGCACACTGTCTGGTACCGCTGTGATGCAGAGACAGAGGTGTAGACATAAACACACATTGGGTCTAAAAATGCAATTCTTGTGACCATTAGTTTGGACATTTATAACATCAAAGCACATCATTTTACATGTTTGACTAATTTTGTTGTTCACCGTGACAATATACAGAGAATGTTCTTATCAATAACAAATGGTAAATCACAGCCGACTCTGCTAATGAGACTTGTTAACTTCAGTCTCGAAGTCGAATGGACCAAGAGGCTAAAAGAACGTTCATGTTTTATGTTGTGCTTCATAGAAAGGGAAGTGGATTTATTATGTCAGTTTAGTTCCTCATATACAAAACCGGCATTGCTTTTGAACTCGCCATATTATTTTCAATACAGTATTGTCTTATATATGCAAGCATTCTTAAATTCATGTGTAGTGCATACGTTTATGAAATATATCTCTGTGATTTTGACGATACTTTGGCGTGGCAATTTCATTTAAGCCCCAAAAAAGGTGTCTAAGTGGATAATTATAAAATATTGTCAAGAAGAATGCTATGCGTGCACACTGTCAAGTATTGCTGTGATGGAGAGATGGGGGTTTTAGACGTTCTATTTAGTGGCAGAAAATTAACATGGCAACAGGGTTTGTGCACTTCTGGTTAAACCCATGCCCTGAGAACGATTGTTTAAGGGCGCTTTATAAATTGAAATTATTATTATCTCCACGCTCAAATGACCATCTCATTTGGACATCTGGAGCCAACAGTGGAAATTCCAAAAGCTCATGGTGATGGTCCATTCTCTCTATAGGAAGACCACTGTTGACTTCCCAAAAAAGTAATACCGATTTTATTGGCCTTGAAAAGATGTTGGACCAATGAATCAGGATCACAACTCTACAATTGTCCATAGAACACGCTTACCACATTTACATCCAGTTGTATATTACTGATTGTCATTTTAGAGCAAAACTCTTATTTGCAACAGTTATGCAAGAGTTATATTACCCTCTGGAGGTGTAGAGATGGGCAAGTGCTCTTCCTATTATCCGCGTTTTTTTGCAGATAAGAAGAATCGCATGGCAAATTTGTCTCTTTTCCACAGATAAGTGGACAAATTTTGCAGCAAACATCGTGCATCATTTTATCTTCCATGTACATCGCCCACATCACCGTGGATAAAAAGAGTTATACTATCGGAGAGAACTGAGACCCTTTTGTAACACATTGTGTCGGGATCTGAGGGAATATCTCTCCTCATCTGAAGTGAAACCACCTTGAAATTAGAAATTAATACAGCTCCAAAGCTTGCAAACCAATCTGGAATTCCCTAATGAAGGGTTGCCCAAAGTCGAGTCCTTCTGACCCATCACATTTTTTTTTACCAATTTACCAAATAAAAATGTCTTGTCGCATGCTACTCATGCCTGATGAATGCTAAGTTAGTGGACATAAAGTGGTTGTTCTATTTTGAAATCATAAACGTGTGTGAAATCCACTTGGCTGTGAGTTGCCAACCAAGATGAGAAACTACTCCAATGCAAGGAGACACCATGACCAAAACCTGTTGTACCATGTGAATGCAATGAACGTTGTCAATATCAATGCACAGTGCAGAGCTCACTTTTAACTTTCAACACAATGGAGTCCTCGAGTGTTGACTGCAGAAAATCGCCCTGGACAGAGCAAAAACACTTCTTCCCATCGTGGTTGACTGATGGCATGAGGTTAAACCTGCTTGTTATATTGAAAGTTCCATCTGGAAGCGCCATTTCAACCGTTGTGACTTCAGTGACGAGATCCTTGCACCAGCTGATGTTTATCGAGCCCCTGGGGTACACGTTCGCTACACTACAGCTCAGGGAGGCCGGCTGCCCGATCACCAATGCCGGCACATCTTGCTGAGCCTGCACACCGTTTGGTACCGCTACGAAGGAAGAATTGTACGTGAAAAACACTAAGGTCTAGGTCAGGGGTCGGCAATCAAAATAAGAAGAGATATTTATTTTATGCGGTCCAAAAATATTTCCAGAGCTGCAATGCATGTAAATAGGATACGATAGTCCTTAAGAAATAACGGCACAAAGCAGTCCTTAAAGAGCCACCGCATGCGGCTGTGGAGCCCCACGTTGCCGACTTCTGGTCTAAACAACATGAAAGTGAAATCTTGCAGCTAAGTCAGTGAGACTTTATTTTGCGTCTTTAAACTGACAGAGTTTTGAAATGTTTAAGATAAACAAGTGAAATTGCTTTGCAATATAATGAGTTGTCCTTATCTGATTTGGAAGCATGGATATTCAACACTTTCAAGGTCAATTTACTATTTTGTTCAACATTAAAGTCGAATAATAACAGGACATTCCATCTTTCTTCATCTGATATTCTTGTTATCACACAGAAATTAAACAGCAGCAATTACACCAGAGATGTACGCAGCATAACATCACTAACCCTCTTGAGGAGTCAATAATTGTTGATTATATGTGATGTCTTGATTTGAAGCTTTCGTGACTGCAGGAATCCATACTCTTTGGTTCTTTCGGTAAAGTCACGTAGGTATAAGATGAAATAAATCACGACGTTTCGATCGCAACACAAACGACCGTAATCAGGTGGAACAGATACAGCAGGAGAACTGCTGACATAGGAGTAAGAGCTGCTGCAACAGTCTATATAGGATTTTGGTGGGCTCAACCCAAGGGTAAGTGGGCGGAGCTAGAGAAGGAACTTACACGTAAATGTAAATGTGAGAGATTAGCATGTCAATGTGAGAGATGAGCATGTCAATGTGAGACGGTCCCAGCCACCAGAGGTGGTGGGGACCGTCCTGTGGCTGGGCCGCCTCACAGATATTTAGCCTGGTGATATACTCAGAGAGTCTGAAATAACAGCTGACATAGGCAGGTAGGATGGAAACATCACAGTCAGTTAAGACTTTACCTGGTTAATAATGTCCTTACAATGATTGCTCAGTTTGTACCCATCTTCTCGGTTGAAGTTGTGTCTGTGTTTATATATCTGGAACTTCATGAACAAATATCTGAAGGTAGCCAGTAGGTTTGCAGAGTACCTCCGTCTTGGAAAATTAAATTTCGTGTGAGCCCACAGCATTAAAACAATGACCAGCAACGGCAGAGGTATTGGTCCTACCGTGTTTCAGATCCGCCTTGTGTTCACGAACGCGGTTCGAGAAATGTAGTTTCGTTTCCCCAAGAAATGTAGGTTCGTTTCCCCAATGTAACTGCTGCCGCAACCACACCTCAGTTTGTAGACACCATGGTATTACATGTCAGGAATCACATCCTTCACAGATGGGATTAAATCACGGATTTTGTGTACTGTGTTGCAACGAACCTGGATCTTGTGTTTGTTTAAGATTTTGGAAATATTTTTGGTAACCCCTGCTATGTATGGTAAAGTGATGGTTTTGGTTGGATCCTCAGAAGGTTGTCTCCCCATGGCTGGGGAGACAGCTTTGCAGATTGCCTATCTAAAGCTTGACTCCCACCACTATCCAGCCCAGAAGAATTCCCTCATCAAAACACTACACCATAGGGCCCGTTGCATCTCCGACCAGCACCACCTAGCCAGTGAGTTGGAGCACGTACACTAAGCCCTCAGGATGAACGGATACTTGGGCCGTACAACTACCTCGCCTGGCATATAGGAGGTTGTGGATTTGATCCCGACTCTGACGCCTAGATATTTGGAGTTTGCAAGTTCTCCCCGTGGTTGCATGGATTGTTTTCTCCAGGTCCTCTGGTTTTCTCTCCACATTTCGAAGCATACATTTAGAGTATTTTGCTGCTTTAAATTTTCACGTGATAAGCCACTTCATTGAACTATTATTTGTGGCCAGATCACTTTTGAAAAAGAGCTATATAGCTGAGTGGGCATTACCTGGTAAAATAAAATAGGTGCCAATTTTAGCTACGCGACACCTAACAGGGACCTGTCGTGGCTCCAGTTAATGTTTTTGGGTAATATGTTGTAAGGAAACTAATAGAAATGTAGTGATATAGATAATAAAATAATTGATGTGCATTGACTTACAATAAACAAGAAGGGTTCTTGTCGCACTTCCACTCCCTTCTACGTTTGTTGATTGGCATTGGTAATCACCAGCATCTCCCACCTGCACTTGCTGCAGTTCTGTCTTTTCTCCAAATATTTCCAGTGGCTTTATATCCCCAGAAGGCATTTGTTTGCTCCACTTGTAGTCGTGTGCTGGGGGCCAGCTGTCAGTAACGCATTTCACAATCACATTCATGCCCCTTTTCACTCGGTCAGGCTGAAAATCTATTTTGGTGTTCCGAGGTGAATACGCATCTGAAATTCAAACAAATAATTGGAATTATAATTGATCATACATCAGACAACATGCTTGTGTGGTTCCTACACAGTCTATTTGCAATTATACCAAAATAATAATAAATGGTTGGTATTAAAGACATACAGTTTTCTAAATTGGCAAAAAAAGTCAAAAAAAGTCATTTCGTAATAAATGCATTAAAATGTTGTCCACTTCATTTTGCATTCATAGCAATTAATCTAACTCTGGGCATACCTCGATATATGTTTGTGTTGATTTTTTAAAAGCCTCAACGTAATGTGAAAAACCATACTGTATATTGAAATGTATTTTCACAAAATGACTCATTACATAACGTAAGATGTGTTCCGAAGATAATAATTTCTGACTCAAACACTAAAATAACACTTTTCAACACAACTAAGATATGTTAATTCAATGGTGACTGATTACCAATCGATTATATAATTACAATACCCCCCCTCCGCCTCAAATCACTGCACCTGAAATGAGTTAAATGATGACGTCACTCTGCTGCTCTATTTAAGACCGGGAGCAAGCGAGGGCTTTACCATTCTGGCGAATTGCCCGATGATGCTGGATGTAATTACCAGCGAAACGTCGTACTCAAACTGTAAATGTTGTGGATTCAGTCTTCAACACACCGGTGGGCTAAAGTAGTGAACTATTTGTCTTTTGTCAACGTGACACTTTTTTCTGATTGGCCGTGTCGGGTGGTGGAGGGTTACGACACATTTATAAATAACGCGATCTAACCCAAAAAACCTTTATTATGAATAATATTGGTCGCGAAAGCCTACGTGTTAAACTAAGATATGTTAATATATAAATATGTAGAATAGGCAGGTAATTACAAACAAACTGTACATTGTAATTTACTGCGGTGAACATCGTGTGAGGCGCACCACGCGATAGGGGGAGAGGATCAGAGGAATACATTCCTTAGATTACTCTATGTCCTACGCTCACGTTAAGATCAAAACCACTGCAAGTTCTCCAATAGCGCACCATGGTCCAGTGCTAAATGCCATGGAGAGACCAAGGAGGACCAATATGGAATGGTCCTTGCAATCTCTCGCTCTTAGATCATGCAGCACACGACCTAGGACTGTCTCGGGTGCCATGTCTCTACCTAAATTCTGATTGTAGACAATCATCGCTGTTGTGGATAGACATTTGGTCATCGAACTACTGCGCAACTACCCTCTCAATAACCTTACCCCACGAAGGGCAGGTTAGAGATTGGTCTGTAGTAAGACCATTTCGCACCTACAATTAGCACGGTTGGCTACGTGCGGTACAAAAGAAGTTCAACACACATACATACATTTTTATCAAGGGAGGGCTTTTTCAAGAGAGGTCCAATGGCCACTTTCTTCAGGGTATAGTTCCCTTTCCAATGACTGCCAGACCATCTCAGCCAGGAACGGGCTGAATTTATCCATGCACCCCAGAAGGAGGCATGTTGAGACAAGATACAGACGACAGCTGGTTGGTCGGCCAAAGTCTGACCAAACAGTCCGGGTGCTTGCAACCTCCAGTATCAAAGTTTGTAAATTGCTGAACTTTGGAGATGAGGGGGGAGGACAACGAAATAAACAGCGCAAAAGTTGCCCACGCAACGCTCTTCATGCGCGAGCGCTTTCCTTTACAAATCTTTTTTAAACCCCGCACTGTGTTTAAACCCCGCACTGTGTTTAAACCACGCACTGTGTTTAAACCATGTACTGTGTTTCTGTAATCCATGGCCCCGAAGCAAAAAGGAAACGGCCTCAATAACGGTACGTATAAATAAACCGATGTAATATTCAATTATATGTCAATTTATATTTGCGCTTTCAAATGTGTTTATATTTATCATTATTTACGGTAAGTTAAATAATATATAAATACTATGCAATATATGTATTCATTTTACATATATACAGTTCATATGTTAAACATAATGTGTATGCCTCCTAACCATATTTTGCTCATAAACTTTGACGATTATTGTTCGTTCCAATCTCCAGTAATGTATCCCCGTGAATAGTAACAGTATCTTAGAATGTGTATATTGTCGGGGTACCACCCCGTTTTGCGTACCATGCACTGTCAGTTGAATTCCAACGTTGCCAGTCCAATGACTTTTCGTCGTGAACCGAAAGAAGTATCTACTACCATCATCTTTTGATGTATTAATTATTTTAAGAGAACAGTCCCTTGCATACAAATCCCCAACCAGGGATGTCCTTCCGCTATATTCCTGCATCACTTCCCCTGATGTGCTGTACACAATGGTATCATATGGAAAGTTTTTGTTTTTCATCCAACCTGCCCAAGTAACCCGTTTTCCTTCATCAATGTACTTGAATGAACACGGAAGAATCGCGCTGCCTCCAGGCCAGGTCTTGACCTCCTGTCCATACATCACTCCCCATTCACTTTCATCTGCAAACAGAAGCAGATTAAAAGTTAAAAAAGATAGAGCACACTCAAACACGTCAACTACAAGTGTGGGATGCTTGAAAATTAAAACAATTAATGTGTTTGCACCAAACGTGACCTCTTGCGACAGCATTCGCATAAACTCCTCTTGCTGCCATACCAATGCCTTGAGTGATGCTTGATCCACGTATCATGAGGAATGACGGTCAATGTTGAACAATCTTTAAACACACTGGTCTGCTGAAATAGTAATTGGCATGTTTTGTTTACGTGACAAACCTTAATAATTGGCTGTGTCGGGTGGAGGAGGGTTTACGACACATTCACGACTTAATCCAAAAACTTAATTGGGAATCATAATGGTCGTGAAAGCCTACATATAAAAATAAATGTGTGAATCAGCTGGTGTGAGGGGAAATTCCTCTACAATGATTATTCATTCTAGTAGGAAAGAACATACACGGTGGTGATAGGTGATCACTCGTCACCCTCTATACACCTTTAATACGTGGTTCTTCTTGTCTTTATTCCTCCTTTTACACTGGAACATCCTAGCCGAGTCAGTGTGGGGCCATCATGAGACAAGTCGTTTTCCGCGAGCTAATATTTGCTGAGCTGAGCCAGGACCAAACCATGATAGGCTGCCCTTTCAAGGCATCTGAATCTGACTCGGTGCCAAGCAGAGAAAGGGGCAGGGATAATGACACGTTCATACGCCAGTTGAGCGTAAGGAGACGGGTGTTACCCTGTAATCTATATGTCTCAAATCCTTAATTGCCTGTGACGTCAGCATCACAGCTCAGCTTTTCATGGAAAGAGTTGTATTTGACATGCACATTATCACATCGATTTGGCATTTATATTTCTAACTGCATTTTCAAAAACAGAAAACATACTTTAACAGTGTGTCGCATGTTCCGAAGAGTAGTTTAGAATATCGCTATCTTTGGGGAGGGGGAGGAGGTATTGTTTTGCTTACCTTGCACTTTAAGTTCGATGCCTGCTATTCCAGTATAACTATCATGAGTCATAAAACGAAAGAAGTATTTACGCCCATCAGATTTTTCTGCATGGATGATTTTAAGAGAACAGTTATTTGCATCCAAATCCCCAACCAGGGATGTCCTTCCTCTATATTCCTCCACAATTTCATCTGCTTTTGTACTGTACACAATGTTACTAATTGAATAGTCTGAGTCTTTCATCCAAACTGGACCAGAAATTAGTTTTCCTTTTTCAGGGTACTTGAACGTACAGGGAAGAATCACGCTGCTTCCAGGAGAGGCAATGACCTCCTGTCCGTACGTCACTCCCCATTCACTTTCAGCTGCCAACAGACGAAGATAGAGCACACTCAAACATGTCAATGAAAAATGTGTGTGCTGGTTGAATATTTACAGAATCCATGCGGTCAACTAGCACAAGATCACAATTGATTGTCACGGCCACCACCGGTGACGATTATTTGAACCGGCCCTGAGCCTCCCCTAGGTCGAATCAGCCTCAAACGAGTCACTGGTGTGGTGTGTGGACATCGCCACTGGGGAGACAAAGGCGGCCGAGCGTGGTGAATCTAAGTCCCGGGCGAAGCCGGGTAGTAAAGCTAGTTTCTTATAATCCGAAGCTGGTTCAGGATACATCAGCTCACTTGAGGGTATATATCACCAATAATTAATTAAACCGATACTTTGTGAACTTGCAGAATCAACGTTATGGACCTATGTATAATTGGCAAGGTTATACATTACTTGGGACTCCACGATCACAAAAACAATCTGGATTGGCCTTCCTGGATTGGCACTCTGGGTTACTTGAATTTTAGCATTGCTAGGAGCTCCATATAACATATAAATTGCAATGTGGGGTGGCCCTCAACATATAAATTGAATTAAGTTTAGTAACATTGCAAAATGTAAATGTGCAACCCTGTAATTATGTGCTCATGCCACTGCTGACAGAAGGACCTCCACTAGAGGGAGCCCAATAGAGCCTCTCGAGGGATATTTTAGCCTACACTTTAACACAGGCCAGACATCTTATAAGAGGTGGTCGTACCATACTATTGCTGTCAATTGTCTTAATAATTATCTGCATTGCCGGTTGCGGTGAAAATACCTACTTACCATGTAGAGATATATATTGAGATTAAGATAAAAACTAAATATTGCAATAATTCACCATGACAAACCGTACTATCAACTTGTAACGTGCACAGTACGAACTCAGAGGCGTGAGTAACCACAATCGGGAAGGCAGCCATATGGTAAGCTGGCACCAATAATTATCCAAGCTCTGCAGGCCTCTATATATGAAGGTGTAATCATGGAATAATGAGTGCTTACATGTAACTAAAAGGCCTGTAACAGTTTTTTCCCCTTGTTGTTCCATCACTTGTGATGGGTAACAATTTGATGCACGAATTTATTCCTTTTTCGGTGGTAATTGTAGCTCCTTCTAATGGTAGCAGGTGTCACGTGAACCATTGACACAAGGCATATGAATATAACATACATTATGCTTAAATACATTATTATTTGTGTGCATAATACATTTAAATATATCAATTGATCCAATGTGACACTCCTAACAACTTCCAATGTTACCGTTGGATGGAGCACTGTCCACTGCTGAATTGAGTATATACTTACATTTTAAACTAAGTGCAGACATACAAACTGAAGACACCTTTAACACTGAATGGAAATAACTTTATCAAATAAAATTACAATGATCAGTGACTACAGTATAAGTGGAAGTGTAATGCAGTTCTTGGCCGAGCCAATGGACACAACCATCACCCTCCCACAAATGACAAACAAAAATACAGTGCTCCCTCATTATTGGCGAGGGATATGTTTCCAGATATGCTCATGAATTGCAAATTTCGTGAATAATGATATCGGCCTACAAATATCGTATGCGCAACATCTTTCAATGCTTCTAAAGCTTCAAGAGGTTATCTATCTCATCAGATTCTCTCTCATCACTTTCTTTTTCTCTCTCTCTCGATGCAATCATGTAGAATTCCAGATGCGATTCGCAGATAAACAAAATCGCGAATAGCAAGTTGGTAAATAACGAGGGAATACTGTATCAAACAAGAAACTTCTACCAATATTAAACAAGCTGCAAATATAATTATCAAGTGGAAAAAAATTAATGTTTGGAAAAAAAACATCCACAGTCCAGTACATAATGGGCGATTGACGGACGCCGAGTTGCAAATTAACAGTGTGTCACTATATTGTGCATTGCAATAAATACCTTGTGAGCTGTGCAATGAGATGAAGAAACATGAGACAATAATCCAGCTTCTGACTGCCAAATCTTGGATTTTAGAATGCATTGTTGAGTCAGTGTTGACAATCTGTATACACAGCCACGAATACAGCATTCGTCCAAAATTGTGCTGTTTCACATCAGTAGCATGACTGCTCGCACAAAACAATTTACATTGATTGATGAGCAGATAAAGGTCTGTTTTATGTTTAAAAATATGTATTTTAGGTCCATCATCCAAAAGGCCCTGATGATCAATGTATTGCGTTACCATTTGTTTAGGCAGAAAAATGGATTGACAATTTTCGACTTTAAGTCTCATCGGCAATGTTATTTACCCACGTGACTCAGAAAGAGCCGCCATAAATAAAAGCTGTTTGGGAACACAGCTAATAATTAAGACTCAATGAGCCTATAGCACAATGCATCTATAGGATTCGCCTGTCAACGTTTGCAGAAAAATGTATTGGTTGTACTTTACTGTGCTACTACATTTATGCTTCCCACATTCACCAAACCCGCACTCAATAGCGTGATGATAAATGGTGATGTAACCCAATTCATGGGCCACCCAGTGTGAGGAGCCGCTCATACAACAAAAGGCTGTACATTCTCACATTTATTATCTCATCGTTTTTTTCAGAACGTTTGCTTAAAACTTAAAAACATGTTATTTTTATTTAATGGTATTCGTTTATCCATAATAGAGATATTTTTTTGGGTTAGATCGCATAAAAATAAATGTGTCATTAAAACCCGCCACCACCGGACACAGCAAATTAGAAAGGTTTGTCACGTAAACAGAACGTGCCAAATCCACAACATTTACAATTGGAGTACGACGTTTCGTTCATTAAAAACTCAGAACATCTTGTAAATATAAAGATATTAAGCTTAACCTTCATGATATTCTGGTAAGTGTTGATGTGACTTCTCTCTTCATGAGGGTTCCAGTGAATGAGTCAATTAAATTACTCGAACACAGGCTTACCCAAAGTTATCCCACTGTCTAAATAACACCTATTTCTTGTGGAAAGGTAATATCTATACACAAAAGGAAGGAGCAGCAATGGGCTCTCCTTTGTCTCCTGTGATTGCAAATTTGCAAAAGCAATAGCTTCAAGCACACTCAAATCCTCTGCTTGATTCTAGATTTGAAGCTTTCGTGACTGCAAGGATCCATACTCTTTGGTTCTATTCGGTAAAGTCACGTAGGTAAAAAATAAAATCAAACAAAAATACAGTACACAAAATCCGTGACCTGATCCCATCCATGAAGGATGTCATTCCTGACTTACAGTACCCCGGGGTTTACAAATTGAGCTGCACTTGTGGTGATTGCTATATCGGGGAGACGAAGCGACATGTCTCTGACCAAATTCGCGAGCACAAATCAGATTTGAAACACGGCAGAACGAATTCTTCTGCCGTAGCTGACCACTGCTACAACGCTGTGGGTGATCACGATATAGTGTTCTCCGATACTAAGGTCCTTTGCAAACCCATAGGTTATCATCAGAGATTTGTCCACGAGGCAATTCAGATTTACAAACACAGACACAATTTCAATCGAGAAGATGGTTTCAAATTAAGCAATCATTGGACAGATGTTCTAAATCATACCAAACATTAAACTAATTTTCAATGGTACAGTATATTTATCCAAGTATTGATATACCAAACTTTCACAGCAGCTTATTTCCCTTTAAAACAACGTTTGTAAACCCCCCCCCCCCCCCCCCCGTGCCGGTCCGTTACGTTGCTGTACAGGTCATTTCCTCTCACACCAACATTTGTACATTTGTAAACTCCCCTCCCCCGTGTAGGTGCTCTATGAGTTTATGCTAATTCATTTGTCAAAGCGTTTTGTTTCCTCCCACACAGCTTCAAGGACGCGACCTGGTTTGACTTTCTTCATTTCAACGTTATCCTCGTGATAGTACCTTCACCTGATGAAGGTCACTTGTGTTGTGGCCGAAACGTCGTTATTTTTGTTTTATTTAATTTTTTACCTCCGTGACTTTACCGAATAGAATCAAAGAGTATGGATCCTCTGCTTGGTTTAGATACATTGGTGGTCTGGCCACACGGCAAATATACACTTAACGAATTTCTAAATCATCTCAACTCGCAAAACCCGTCCATCCAGTTCACCATGGAAGTGGAAGTTGACAGAACTCTCCCATTTCTGGATATTCTGCTCGGGCACGACCGAAACGGTAAACTAACACACAGCGTTTACCGAAAAAAAACGCATACTGACGCCTATATGAATGAAGTTACACCATCGCCCCACGCAGAAATCCTCTCTCATCAAGATACTCATACATCGGGCTAAGACATTTTCAGATGGTGATAGAAGTGAAATTAAACATGTGAAAGAAGTGCTGCAATTGAATGGTTACAATGATGCATAAATCAACAGGGCACTCAATTCCAAAACCAAATCAAATAGCACAAGCGTTGAAACTGGCCAAGTAATAAAACTGATATCTGGTACTAAATATGTATTACCGAAGTTATCAACAGAAGGTGTGTACAGGATTAATTGCACTTGTGCCAAATGCTTTGTTGGTCAGACAGAACGAATGATCAGCATGAGCCTAAAATAACACCAAATGAATATTAAATACTCCCAAATACAACTGTGGGCAGTGGCAGAACATGCGTGCTAACAAGGACACTCAATTGATAATGTTGACGTTCTGTGCAGAACTAATTACTTCTGGCCAAGACTAATTAGAGATCACTCGAAATTAATAAAAATAAAATATAATTAACCATTCGGATAGCTGCAGGCTTAGTGCTGCTTGGAAGGGAATAATCGAGTTTAACTGCATGCCTGTATAGGTCACCATACGTGAATGGATTTAAATGTGAGCAAACAATAATAGGCGCTGCGATTTCCGTGCACACAAACGACAGGATGAATAAGAACAATATCCATACATAATGTACGTTTATTACCATATGAATAACCCAACCGGTAGTGGATACCCATTTTAAGTTATATGCATTCATTAACCCAACGCTCTTTCTGGCCTTTGCACCTGAAGGGCTCACAATTAACGACGTCACATTTATCCTATTTACGAAATAGGATTTCTCCACAAATCTGACTGTTACTTGATGATGCCAGTTGTAATTACTGGCGAAACGTCGTACTCAAATTGTAAATGTTGTGGATTTACTCTCCAACACACCGGTGTGCTGTACTAGTAACGAATTGGCACGTTTTGTTTACGTGACGAAACTTATTAATTGGCTGTCGGGTGGTGGCGGATTTAACTACATTTATATACGCGATCTAACCCACAAAACCTCTTTTATAAAAACTGGTCGCGAAAGCCTACGTTTTAAACTGGTATTCGTTTCGTATCTACTTTACTCATTTATGCATGTACATTCAAAATGTTTTGTTTATTTTTCTAGATTATTTTTCATAGCTAATCTGATTTCTTTCTAAATGACGAACAGAGAAATAAACACCCTTACCAAACGATGTTTCAGCCTTGGTTTGACAACAATATTGTTTTGTTCAATTGGCAAAAATTAAGGAAGTTAAACCGCAATATTGTTTTTGCTGATAAGCCATTAAAGCGGAACTGCTTATGCCGTACAATAGTTTTTTTTTACAAAGAATACATTTATCTCATGAATATATACCAATATATTTTTACAATTCAGATCATTGTATAAGCAGATGTCGTTTTAAATATATACAGTATATATTTTTTTTTATGACACTAGCGGGAAGTACCCGGCTTTGCCCAGGGGAAAATATATTTCAAAACTTCTCTTAAAAACATAACATATACATACACAAATACTAAACTATTGTGAAAGCCCGGCATTCCGTTTGTCTGTCCATTTGTCCATCAACAAAATTATAAGAGGCTTGTGGAAGTCCTGAATCAATAAGTAATAGAGTGCGGGTGGTAAATAGTTGATCTAAAAGGTTTCCAAAAATTGTCGACCCCCCCCTTCAAAAAATATTTTTACCCCCCAGTAGGCATATATACCTACACACCCTACATACAATAGTAGTATCTAGTGACTCTATAGTAGCATCTGGCTCTACAGTAGTATCTACTGACTCTATAGTAGTATCTATTGACTATAGTAGTATCTGCTGATTGTATAGTAGTATAATCTGACCGTAGTAGTATTGTTGTATATGCCGGGTATTGAAAATTAGATTAAAATAATTCAATTCAAATGAAATTTTGACAATAGCGTAATTATCCAAAATTATGTTAATTTATGTAATTATGCGCATATTAATACGGGATGATCGTATTAATTTATGCGAATGTATGCGATGATGCTAATGCGAGCCGTTATGATAATTAGGCCCTGCCTCGCTGACGAGGGTCGTATCATCAATCGGGATAAGACAACGAATTGTATGAAGTTATGCAGGTGTGCTGTAAGTACGCCAGATTAAGTTCGGCTTCGTTGTCTAGGTTCGTATTATAGATCGGTATAATACAATTATTCTCGCTTTAACATTTACTGATTATGTATTAGTGTGTTTATGTCAGGTCTCCAAATTCAAATCTCACCGCAGGATACAGTTGCTATAATTAAGATTATTATGCATGAACTCAGGAAAAAAACACTCAAACACTTCTGTGTTAAGCAATTTTAATTTCTAAACAAAACCTTAACACTCTAATATGCGAATTCTCATGCTTGAAATTGTCAACACAGTACTCCAGGAGATGTTCCCCTCATTGATCCATACATTTAACCCTCAATAACGTTTGTTGACTGGGTAACAGGACAATTGATTACTTCCTCAGAGTAACACGAGCATATACGGCAAATAGGAATAAAAGTCCTTAAAAATGAATGCGACAATATTCATACGAAAGGCAATAAAAGCAAATTGTTATACCCCAAAGGCAAAAGTATACGTCAACGGCAAGATTATATAATTAACGAAATGTCTTGGAATAAGGGTGTGCGACGGTGTGCGTGTCCTCCTAAGGGAGATTCTTATCTTTGGCTAAGTTTTAATTAATTCGTGAACAAGATTATATGATAAAGGAACAGGTTTAACAAGATATTCTCTCTGTGAGCGTGTAGATTCGTGTCGAAGGTTTCACAAGTTTAGTTTGTATCGATGAATCTATTGGTAATTTATGCGATTGGAAGTAAAATCACATAAAAATAAGAAGGAAAAAATATTAATGTACCTATAAACGACGTATTCTTATCACTCGATGAGCTGTGATGCCTTCACGTCCAGCTGAAGGTTCATGCACTTTATAATTAGTCTTAGTGTGTGGGTGCGTGGGATTGTCTCTTTGGTAAATTATTGTGTGAGGGTGGGGGAGGGGTATATAAACGATGGCTGGTTCCCTCTATCGCTCGGTGTCTGATGTTGGCTGACGGTTCTCTCCGCCGTTGGATGATGAGCTGCGTCGGCACGATGCCCGTCCTGGAGATGCTCGGTCGCTCGTGCGCTGGCCCGCTGGCAGCAGCAGGCTCCTTCCACTGGTGGAGGAGCTGCGCCGCACGCGACCTCTCCTTGAAGATGCTCGAACGCGCTCGCCGCTGGTCCGCTGACACTCTTGCTCACGGGTGGCTGGTCAGGCTCTTTCCCCTGCTGGATGAGCCGAATCAGGACACACCGCTTGTCCGCTGGCTGCTGACACCCTTGCTCAGTGACGCTGGTAGCGCTGCTGTGCGCTCACTCTTGCTCCGTCTCTCTCTCTCTGGTTGATTGCTTGACGCTGAGAATAACTTTTCAGCGATACTCTGTCAGTCAATGCTGAACTCAGCACAGAGCATCACCTCACCCCTCTTCTCTGCGATGCACCACACGCATTGTTGATCTCGAGGCCATGCCTCGGAGCTGGCTTGCTGTCCTCTTCTGAGCTGCTGTGTGTCTTCTTGTCGAACTGATGGTGGCCGTCTTCTTCTGCTGGTAGCTGGGATGTCGAGCTGAATTGTCGAGCTGAATTGTGTGTGTCGTGTTGCTGTTTATATCCGAAAAATCTCCCCTCTGCGCGTCTCTTGCGAGAAAAAAAAAACATGCTTACTTTGTCATGCTCTCTCACAAAGGACCGGAACTTTTTTGATCTCGCTCTGCGTTATAGAGGGGGGGGGGGGGGTGTTGTCCGTGTGTGTATCATTTATTGAGGTAATGAGTTTTATCAAGGCATGGTTCCCTGTTGCCTTCCTCAAGCCATCTCTCCATCAAAGGGAAACCGATGCTCCAGATTGCCGAGTGCATCCTTCTTTCTCACTCTCTGCACTAATTAATCTGGAAGGAGGGGGTGCCCCCTGTCCGGTCGAGTCCTCTCCCCCCTGCTCTTCCCTCCCGGTGTGACATACTTTTGACTCGCACAAAGAGTGTGAGGCTTTTGAAGTTAAACATTTATTTTACCTCATAGTTTGATACCGTACCCTTGTAGTTATGATTCCGTACGTCACTCAAGGTATGTTGTAGTAGTGTTTCCATCATGGTGTTTGATTTTTATTTTTAAGAGATGCCCTCTGCCTGTGTATGCAAATTCTTATCACGTGCTGCTGGAAGACAAAGGCGGCCGGGAGGCTCTCTTTCTCTCTGGAATACATTTATCTTGGTCACGTGATCGACCTACCTCGCCTCATCTCTTCTGGCTGGCCCTCAGTTTAACACTGCATCATTATTTTGGTTTATGTTTCCCAAGATTTGTGATTTAAAATTGTCATCATTAGATGTTACCTCCGATATTTTAAGGGTTTTATTAACTTTTGCTCCCTGTCTGCATCCAGGGATCTGTGCATTTTATTCTCGAGGTCAGAGATATCCCGAGGTTAGAGAATTTGTTTTGGCTTAGGAATAACCCTGACTGCCAGAACTATTCTTGATGCTTCGGTCAGGTCGTGTAGAAAAATTTTAAAGGTGAAAATAACATTAGTATTGAATTAATAAATGAGTAATGATTCACTGATGTAGATTGTGGCCTGGTTTTTAATTGGAGTGAGTGTGAGGATCGATAATGTTAGCTTCATCTTTGGTCGCTACGTTTTGGAATTTTGCCATTTGTTAGCAAAAGCATGAAAATGTTAACATGTGGCAACCTTAGACTTCCGCAGTAAAGCAGCTACAAAAACAGAACAATTGTGAGAAAACCAAGACATGTGGCAACCTTAGACTTCCCCAGAGAGGGGAAAAAACAAGAGCACAGCAAAACTGCAAACGTAAGCAAAGAGCCTGGAAAAACCCAAGGGCGTGGAAAGAGAGGCAAATGAATGCCAGCTTGTGGAGCTGACATCGGGACGCGAGAGATAAGAGTGGAATGAATCAAACAACTCATTATCGCTGCCACCTGCACTCAACAAGGCTGAAAACAGCGATCACTAACACTCCCTCACCTACACAGAGTGACGGAAATTAATGAGGCCTTGAATTGGCGGCGTCAGCAAGACAGCGGCCACAACGGGCGAGTAGGGAGAGTGAGGGCGAAGGGTGGTGGACCCCGCGCGAGCAGGAATAAGGGCGAGCAGAGAAGAGATGCTTGGAATGCTAGCATGTCAGCAAAGAACCAGGCAGAGTTAAGTTAAAAGGAAAATTCACATGACATAATTTCATACATAACATTGGTGTTAATGCTATTCACCGTGAACTATACTACGCTTACACAAACATAAACTGCGTGACTTGGGCGATGTTAAAACCAGGGTCAGAGAGAAAAAGATCCGGGCCGTCTTTGTCTCCCCGCAGAGCGGGGTAGGAGTGCTGTATACGCTCGGGAAAACACCTTCCCTTGACAACAGTCAAACACCACAATGGAAAGCCGACACAGACCTTGGGTTACATACCGAATCATAACTGTGGAACTGTGGTGAAATGAAAATGTTAACTTAAAACTTTTTAACCATTCCCTTGTGTGTCGGGGACATGACATGCAGGGAGGAAAGCTTGCCCTCCCTCTCGCGCCAGCAGATAGAGAGGCAGACAGAGAGACGCCTCCTTCGAGACATTTGTAATGTCTGGATGTTTTACTTTTTGATGGTTTATGGAAGGACAGCAGAATATGCCGTGGGTGATGCACACAAGGACACACACTGACACACGTACGGACACACACATACGGACAGATCATGACACAGCAAAATCAAAAGAAGCCCCACCTTGTGGGGGGAGCCAAGGGGAGAGATTTTGAAATAAAATGAGACGCTCCAACAAGCGAGTTCAGTTTGATCGGTGGGTCGGCTCATCAGAGAGTTCGACCTGCGGGTCGGCTCAGGAGCGAGCTGCGACCGGCGGGTCAGCTCGGCTCTGCTACGACCTCATCATCAGCAAGGGCTAAGAGCAGCTCGGCTCATCAGCCCAGAGGGGCTTCTACCAGCTCGACATCTGCCAGCAGGGCAGAGCGCGCCGTCAGCCACAGAGCGCCGTCAGCCGCGCCCGCTACGAGTGTGCTGTGAATCTACCGACATAAACTCGCAACTACAACAACGTGTCAACTTTTCAACCTGTCAACTTAAATTTTGATTTAAAGCTTTCGTGACTGCAGTCATTCATATTCTTAGTTTTTTCTGTAAAGTCACGTTGAAGGGAAACAACAAAATAATAAAATATATATAAAACAATAAAACATTCTCACGACGTTTCGACCATAACTCAAACGGTCGTCAACCTGTGTCAACTCGTCAACCTGTCAACCTGTGTGTGGGCCGAACCGAACCGACTACCTTGAAAGAATCAACGTATACCTATGACACACATTGCCCCCCACTACACGACAAGTCAGGTGTCTGCATTGACATAGGAATTAATTCTGAACACTGACGCCCCAAGACAATTCATATCACTTACGCATGAACGGGTCCTCGACCAAAAAGCCAATATTCAAGTCCGTAGATCATCAGTTGCCATGAGGGCACCACAGCGGACAGGGGTGAACACGCCGTCGTTTATAAGTATATTAATCATTTTCCTCTTTAATATTTTGTTTTGGGCTGTACTTCTAATCGCATAAGTTACCAACCGATCCATCAAAACGAATTAATCCTTGGCACCTTCGCAACGGAGCTACGCTCCCGGGGAGGAATCATGCTAAACCGATTTTCTGATCATACAATCGTGTTCACGAATTTATTAATCTCCCGTAAGATAACACGTCCCGCCGCACACCCTCACACGAAGCCATTTCGGTAATCCTATAATCTGTCCGGTGGATCTGTTGTTACATTTATGCCTTTGGAAATAATAACTGTTTGATCGTCTTTTTATATGAATACCATTGCATGTTAATCAGTCGCCTGTGATACTGTGCTGATGATTTGAAGCATAATAATCGTTCAAATTATAATGTATAAGCTTTTGTTTAGCATAGCAATTGCATGTTTTAACAACTGATAAAGTTAATGTTTAGTTAGAAAATAAAATGGATTAATACAGAAGCGATTGCGTGATTCTTTCTTGAAATCTAGGCATAAGAATTGTTCTGCGTTGAGATATGAACCTGGGAACCTAAAACATAAACACACTAATCCATATTCTTAGCTCTTTCGGTAAAGTCACGTTAAAGAGAAACAATAAAATAATATATATAAAACAATAAAATTCTCACGACGTTTCGACCATAACACAAACGGTCATCATCAGGTGTGAAAACCAACGGCAAGAAACATTTTAAAGAAGTGGCGGTTTGTATTTATTTATTTACGGTGTTTCTGTTTATTTTTTTAAAACGTTAGCACCACGGGCAGCGATTTGGCAGTTTGTTTAGAAGGACGAGTCCATCTATGTTATGAAAAGAGGAGGGGGGAGACGAAAAAAAATAATGTATGCTGTCTGAAAGCCACCGTAAGCGTGAACAATCAATTAAGACCTGAAATGGTTTATCAAATCCTTCCAATGATTGCTAAGCCAGAATCCATCTTCTCGTTGAAATTGTCTCTGTGCTTGTATATGTGGATAGCCTCATGAACGAATCTCTCATGGTAGCCAGATGGCTTACAAAGAACCTCTGTCTTGGAGAAGTCAATGTCATGTGAGCCTACTGAATTATAACAGTGATCTGCCACGGCCGAGGTGTTGGTTCTACCGTGTTTAAGGTCTGCTTTGTGTTCACGAATGCGGTCCGAGACATGTCGTTTGGTTTCTCCAATGTAACTACTACCACAGAGGCAACTTAGTTTGTAGACACCAGGATACTGTATGTCCGGAATCACATCTTTTACAGACGGAACCAGATCACGGATTTTATGTAATGTGTTGAAACGGACCTGGATCTTGTGTTTATTCAAGATTTTGGAGATCTTTTTTGTGATCCCCGCAATGTAGGGTAAAGTGATGGTTTTGAAAGGCTCCTCAAGGGGGTCCTTCTTCATGGTTTGAGTGATAGCTTTGCGGATTGTATAGTCAGAGTAACCATTAGCCTTAAGAGCTTGGTGTACGTGCTTGAGTTCACTGCCTATATGTTCCTGGTCGGATATGCATTGGGCTCTATGGTACAGAGTCTTGATGAGAGAATTCTTCTGTGATGGATGGTGGTGGGAATCCGGTTTCAGATAAGCATCCGTATGGGTAGCTTTCCTGTAGTCAGAGTGGCTCATTGAACCATCTGGTCTCTTTTTTATTAGGACATCTAAAAAAGTTAGCTTGCCATCTTTTTCGACTTCCATGGTAAATCTGATGGCTGGGTGTATGGAATTGATGTGGTCGAAGAATTGGTCTAGAGCAGGCCGGCCATGTGGCCAGATGACAAAAGTGTCATCCACGTACCTCTTCCATAAGGTTGGGCGCAGAGTGGCAGTCTGGATGGCGTCAGTCTCAAATTTCTCCATGAAAATGTTAGCTATAACCGGAAATATGGGGGAGCCCATTGGGGTGCCCTCAGTTTGTTTGTAGAAAGTTCCATTCCAAGTGAAGTATGTATTGGTTAAGCAGTGTCTTACCAGGGGGGGCACCTTTTAGTCCTTGATGAACCAAGTCTTCAATGATTGCGATGGTGTCAGGTACAGGAACTTTGGTGAATAAGGAAACTACATCAAAACTGACAAGCAGGTCGTCTGGGGACAGGGAAATACCCTTGATTGTCGATACCAGGTGAGTAGAATTTTGTACCACAGAGGTGGTTTTTCCAGTGAAAGGACGCAGGATTTCAGAAAAAAACGAGCCAGTTTGTAGGTGGGGGAGTTGATAGTAGAGACGATGGGACGAAGGGGTGTATCTACTTTATGTATTTTTGGTAAGCCGTATAATCTTGGTGGCCTGGCAGCAGAAGGTTTCAACGAAAACTGTATAGATTGATCAATTAATGCGGTTGAATCAGAAATTATTTTGTTGGTTTGTGTGACAAGGCTGTTGGTTGGATCTCTTTTTATTTTTGTATAGCTACCATCGTCGAGTAATTCTTTAATTTAGTTGAGATATTCTATTTTATCCATGATGACAGTAGCATTGCCCTTGTCAGCTGAGAGGACTACAATGTCATCCCTCTTTTTTAATTTATATAATTCAAAACGCTCATCTTTGCTGAGGTTGCTAGCTGGCATCTTAACGTTTTTGAGGGTTGCAGCGATTTCAGATCTTGCTACGTCTGCAGCGATGTGACCCAGGCCCCTGAGAGCAACATCTACTTGGGCAATGATATCATTAACTGGTATGTGTTTAGGTGTGACTGTAAAGTTTAGACCTTTAGCTAAAACGGATTTCAGACCATCGGAAAAAGAACTGTTACTGCGATTAATTACGACTTTGTTAACGTCTAGCTTTTTGGTGTGTGGGTCCGGTCTTTTGTTGGAGAGGAGGTTAAATTTGGAAATCAGGTTGTCCTTACATTTGATCGACATAGTAGCAGCTGAAGAGGCAGTCATATTGTCTACATGTTCCCAATCCGATGTGGACATTGTTGCCGTCAATGATAAATGTGATTTGTAGAGTGTCTTGTCTAACTGATCTAGTTCAGTGCGTGTAAGTCTGATTTTCTCTGAGATAAGAGCTAAGCTAGTTTTGAAAATAATTATTTTCGCATTAGAAGAAGTTACAGCAGCAGAGGTCAGTGTAAATGCGATTGGTATTACCCTAGTCGCGGCATCTCTTCAGAAAGGTGAGAGACTCGATCAGCTGAGCCTTCTTATCCCGGAGTTTGTTGAAGGATCTTAAAGTTATGTGGAAACCCTCCCCGTAGAGGCGGTTAAATTTTGATTGAAAGCTTTCGCGACTGCAGTAATTCATATTCTTAGCTCTTTCGGGAAAGTCACGTTAAAGGGAAACAATAAAATAATAAAATATATAAAACAATAAAATTATCACGGCGTTTCGACCATAACACAAACGGTCATCATCAGGTGTGAAAACCAACGGCAAGAAACATTTGAAAGAAGTGTCGGTTTGTATTTATTTATTTTAAAACGGTGTTTGTATTTATTTATTAAAAAAAAAAACGTTAGCACCACGGGCAGCGATTTGGCAGTTTGTTTAGAAGGACGAGTCCATCTATGTTCTGAAAAGAGGAGGGGGGAGACGAAAAAAATTAATGTATGCTGTCTGAAAGCCACCGTAAGCGTGAAAAATCAATTAAGACCTGAAATGGTTTATCAAATCCTTCCAATGATTGCTAAGCCAGAATCCATCTTCTTGGTTGTAATTGTCTCTGTGCTTGTATATGTGGATAGCCTCATGAACGAATCTCTCATGGTAGCCAGATGGCTTACAAAGAACCTCTGTCTTGGAGAAGTCAATGTCATGTGTGCCTACTGAATTATAACAGTGATCTGCCACGGCCGAGGTGTTGGTCCTACCGTGTTTAAGGTCTGCTTTGTGTTCACGAATGCGGTCCGAGACATGTCAGGAAATGTTAAAGCGAGAATGATATGAACCTGGGGACCTAAAATATAAACACACTAATCCACTCAATAAACGTTAAAGCGAGAATGATTGCATTAGACTGATCGAAAATACGAAGTTAGACAACGAAGTCGAGTTGACACTAGCATAACTGCATACGATTGATTGCATTATCCCAATTGATAACCCCACCTCGTCAATGAGGCGGGGCCTGATTATCATAAAGGATACCATTAACATAGCCACACCCACTCATATACATTAATACGATTACCTCTAGAATTAGCATAACTATACGCATAATTATGCAAATTAACATAATTTCGGATTAATTATGTCAATTTCAAATTTCATTTAATTTTCATTATTTTCATCAAATTTTCACACACCACATATACAACACATTTCTATTTCATCACCTGAGGAGGGCTACTTGTGTTGCGGCCGAAACGTCGTGAGAATTTTATTTTATTATGTTCTATTTTGATTATTTTATTATTTCCCTTCCACGTGACTTTACCGAAAGAACCAAGAAGATGAATCCCCACAGTCACAAAATCTTTAAATGGAAATGTATTTGTCTTTTGTAAACGTGACACGTTTTTTACTGATTGGCCGTTTCGGGTGGTGGAGGGTTGCGACACATTTATAAATAACGCGATTTAACCCAAAAACCTGTATTATGATTAATATTGGTCACGAAAGCTTACGTGTTAAACTGATCTTGGATGCAGTTGGGATACCTACACTTTTCCTAACTACACGTGACCCTCCAATCAATTGGGGTGTAGCCGTTTACACTGCTGGGTGGAGAGAGACAACGGTTAACTCCACTACGTGGAGAAAATGCACACATAGCGAGGGTTAACATTCACCACGACCATCTCCTGGCCACTTTGTGTAACATCTGTTTCCAAACAGGATGAACAACTGGTTTTCATGGCTACTTTAGTCCTGACATCTGGAAATCTCTGGCCGGTCACCCATTCAAATAGCAACGAGATTCAACTGTGCTTAGCTTCCAATATCCGATGAGATCGATGCATTTAAAGAGTGCTTTGGTCATTGGATGATGGGCTGATCGGGGGAGATATTTGATCACATTAATTAAAATGTGTGTAATATGCTTTATACACAGTTATTCCTGTAGAGTATTAACGTTATAATATCTGATATCCTGAATGCTGAGCTTCAACAATCCTTTGTGAGCAAAATCCTGTGAGCTAAATTGAAAAGGGAAAGCTCATAGTGCTATCCATTCAAATCACTCCGGCTACTCACATCTTATGACAAGAACAAACTGAAATGTAATCCTGTGTAAGATATGCGTATATGCATGCGCAAAAATCTAATCCAAATTCTGCTTTGCAGCATTATAGTTTTACATTTTCTCTTAGGCTACATATCAAATGAGACAATATACTGTCGCAATGGCTTAACAGTGGTAAAGTGGACATGTTTGTATGTGTTTTTTCGTGTAAAAGTTACATATGTATAGTCAAATTGTGCATGTACATGTAGCATTATTCTAACAATACACAAAAGCAAATGAAAAGTTTTATAGGAACATTAATTATTTATTCATCATTCATTCACTTATAAATTTTATACACTGTATAGTGACACTTCAAATTAAAAAAACAAGGTTCAAGCTTGATTACAAAGTCACTTCCTTAAGCACCAAAATGCCATATTTTGAATATAGTTTTGCATAGAAAAAAAGAGAGCAGCATCAACATGACAGAACGGTCTTCAACAAACGCGCACACACTTTGCAATTACGACTGTGCAGGTTTTCACGGTTGTGCCACACAGCTCTCAGACGTGTTTCCTTTTTGAGCAGCACGTTGTCCATTGTGCCAAACGGCACGCAGCACGACCCACACAAACGTCGACGAGTGCTCTGGAATTACATTTGGATCAGCAGCTCACGTGGAAGGGCGGTGACACTGTGACTCCACTCTTATCTGACGAAAACGTGTCATTCCTGACCATGGCCGTCGATTCTGCCATAGGTTCCTTGGGCTCGCGCTTTGCGCAGTAGCTTCTGAAGCACGACACCACCCCGAAAAGCAGAGCGCTCAGAATCATGGCCATGCCGCTGACGAGAAAGGCTGCCGTGTAGGTGCCTGTGATGTCCACCAGCCAACCTGGCAGAACGGCATAACCAGAAGCATACACACCGCGGCCACCCGGCAGTTTCAATGGCAATAACAAAAATAATCAAGATTAAGGTGTCATGGCCAAGACCATTGTTAACCAACACACTTCGCCAACTCTTTCTACCATCTGCCATCTGCCAGATCTGCCGCTGCTGCACAGTAGGCATGCTACCTCCAAGATCTGTCCTATCAGTATCCCACCATTTGGTCTTAGGTCCCCCCCCCTGGTCATCAGACTCGTGGATACCATTGCAGTGTCTGTCTTAGTAAATGGCCCCGCTCCATCCTCATACACGTCCCACCCAGCGCAACCTGTTTTCTTAACAATAACTACACCACTTGCCTGGTGTAGTTATCCTCCAGACTTCTGCATTGATATTCCTGCCTTGCCACCACATTTCTAGAATCCCATCTCATATAATTGTGCCCGAATGTCAACAACTTATTTTTTTAAACTGTTTCCAGTCCATCTCTCTTGCTTCACACAGTTACAGATAGCATGTATGTCTCATATATCATTTTCTTAACATTCAGATTTACCTTTCACCTCTTCCAAAAGTGATTTCCATAGCCCATCAAACACTTGACCTTTGAAAGAAATGTTCTTCTTGGCCTTCTTGTCAAAGCGCCCTACATTATGGTCATTACTTCCCAAGTATACAGAGTCCTCTACTGCCCTCAACCTTGTCTCCTCTTACAAAGGACTTGTGGTCCTAATACAGGAGTCTCGTTTTTAACGACCACCAAGCCTAACGGTTTAACGCAAACAACACATCACCACCAGTCAACATGTTTGGCACATGAATTCATTTACATTCAGACCAAGATTTATTCCAATCTCTTTCTTTGTAATGTTCTTTACTATATTTTTGCCTATGGGGGGGGGGGGGGTGGCACGTGCCCCCCCAATGATCCAATCGAAATCCCTCATTTTGATCGGATCATTGGGGTTTATTAGTAATAAATCGGCATTTTGCGCCCTCCACTGCCACTGTGTAGCATGTTATTATGTGCTAGGGACTCTATGAGATGATAGGACAATAGTCCGAGTCCAAAATTGGCAATAAGTAACGGCAAAGCAGTTATAAGTGACTCACAGAATTGTGTGCAGTTGCGTATACATTACACGACTTCCCTGAAAGTATAACTTCGGCGAACGCGATGCCGATCACACAACGCGGTTCGAATTCGACCCTCGATCGATGGCTGCGCCATCGCCACACACGCATCGAATAAAAATCAAGGGACAAGTCCTTGCTTACTAACAACTCCTATCATTTTTAATTGCTGGAGGGGTTGCCCCTCCTACCTGAAAATCCTGGCTCCACCATTGGTTGACCCTGGACAGTGCTTGGAAGGGTGACCACCATGCATAATACAGGTACTGTAGGCTGATGAAAATGTTATTGTACTGTATCATGCTTTCACATCTGTGCTATTTGGCTGCGAAAAATTTCCACGCGATAAACCACTTAATTAAGCATTCATTCGTGACCAGCAAAAGAGCTATATAGCTTAGTGAGCCTTACGTGGTAAAATAAAAAATAGTTTAGTTTAAGTTCGCCCAAGTCACCCAACTCACACCTCACCTGCTACCGGCGGCGCTATCAGGTACGGCACGGCATGCATGAAGAAGACGAGGCCCACGGCGCTGGAGACGTGGACGGGGCCCACCAGGTCGGCTGTCACCACGGAGATGAGTGTCACGTAGGCCCCGTCAAAGTAGCCGTAAAGCACGGCGTACACCATGAGCAGCGGGAAGCTGGCCATGAGTGGCAGCAGGAGTGACCACACGCCCTCCAGCCCCACGGCCACCATGTAGAAGAGGCCTCTGTGCTTGCGCACACTCCTGGGAGGTGAGGGGGCACACACGAGGGCACTGTTCGTGACGTCAAAGTTTTTATTTATGTAATAAGAAGCATTGTTGTTATCCCAAGTGCTTCTATTCTAGATTTAAAGCTTTCGTGACTGCTAGGATCCATACTCTTTGGTTCTATTTGTTATTTTATTTTCACCTACGTGACTTTACCCAATAGAACCAAAGAGTATCCCAAGTGCTTTTCCAATTGTAGAAAGGAAATCGTGTCATGAGAGCATAATTTTTGCAGCTGACATAACAACAGGCTGTGTCAGAGAATTGCTCCAACAGTTGACTTCACAGAACTACTTCTGAAGCCACTAACAACTTCTAGCTGCCTTGCAATCGAGTAGGTTGGAAGGGCCAGCAAAAGAGTGAAAGTGTCTCCTGCTAAAATTAACTTCAAGGTAGCTTCTCTTAGTCCTGTGCCAGTGGTGGAAATTCCACATTCCCATGGTGAGGGACAGTCCATAGAATCTCCCCTCATAATGGTACAATTTTACTCATCCTCAAGCAATACCAAAATTGGAACGCTAAATGTACCAACTGCAGACAATTACTCTGCCTGCAAACATTGACAGCTCTTTTTCGCACCTAACATAAAGCATAGTTGGCTAGGAACGGTGCGAAAGAAGTTCAACATGCGTACGTACAGAAATTCACTGCTGGATGAAGGTCTCCCCATGTGGTATCTGACACTGGTCATTGCTCGTTGGTAAAGAAAGGGGGGAGGGACCCATTTTAGATATCACTCATCACTGATGTTAGCCATGGATGGCAATCAAACTCGGGTAAACTGGGCGATTACTGCTGCACCATTCCTCCAGGACACGAAGGAACTGCGCGATCAACAACCCCCGCCACCGAATCGCACACCAAACCAAACGGTGAAACGTCCCCGGTTGCATTCCAACTGCACTCGAGGTTGGGGGGGGGGGGGGACACGGGGGGGGCCTCACGGCCTGTCGGTGAGCCAGCCGTAGGAGATGTTCCCGGCGATGTCGACAATTCCCAACACGGACAGCAGCAGCGCGGCCATGCCCGGCGGGACGCCGTGCGACTGCGCGTATGGCACGAGGTACACGAAGGGCGTGCTGCACCCGTATGCCATGAGCATCACCGACGCCCAGAACACGACGAACTCGCGCTGCACCACGAAGCCATAGTTGCGCCGCAGCTTGCCGGCTGCATTGACCAGCCGGCCCCACGCCCCCCGCGCGCACGCTCCGGCTCCGGCGCTGCAGCCACGGTCGGGCGGCCCCGCCATCGCCACAGTCCACGCCTCCATGCCGGGGTCCGTGCGGAAGACAGGAGGGACGGCCCTCGCGTCGGTGCCGTTGTTGCCGTTCCCCACGCTCGGTTCCAACTCGGCCTGGAGAGTGACGCGATTGTCAAGGGCGCCGTCGTTAACGTCACCGCCATCGGGCGTTTTTTTTCTCCCTGGGCATTCTACGTCGCACCACCGATTAGCACGGTTGACTATCTACAGTGTGAAAGAAGTTCAATATACACACATACATATGTTGACTCTTGGTACCACCCAAGGTAGAATGGCCCACGGATTAAGCAACCTCTGATCCATACTAGGGGGCAGCACTTTCCCATCTGTCTTGCCGACAAGTGTAATTCTCATTGCATAACAGGAATACTGATGTATATGTATTCTAAGAGCCAGAATATCTACATATTGAGAGCACAATCAAGTTTATTGTTATGTTTTCAGAGGAAATGACAAATGGGTTGAGACCATGTATGCATGTATGTGGAACTTCTTTCGCACCGTATGTAGCCAACCATACTAATCAGAGGTGCAGGGGAAGGACAACAAACTAAACACAAAACGCAGTTCTAAAGAAAATTAGTTAATCAACTGGCTATGCTTGAGAAACCAAGTTTTAATCACAGATGACTGCCCGGACTCGAGACTAAGATCTTAGGCAGTGCCAGCTCAGTTCTGACATCTGTGGCCACCGGCCTCCTCCGCGAACCAACGTTTAAGTCCACTTCCATTGACCGTGTGCAGAAATCTGCATCACAAAAGTTTTGATGCCTTTAGCGGAATTTGCATCTACTCTGTGCCGCCCCACTGCCCCAACCTGCAGATGGATGGGGCGAAGGAGGGCGCCGCAGACGCACAGGTTGGAGACGAACGCCCCAAGCAGCAGCAGAGCCCCGCGCCAGGAGAACACGTCGAGCAGGTACTGGACGAGCGGCGCTAGCAGGAACGTTCCCACGCCACTGCCGGACATGGCGAGGCCCGTGGCGAGCGCCCGCCGCCGCCGGAAGTACTTGGTGACCATGACGATGGACGGGGAATAGCACAGCGAGAAGCCAAAGCCTGCCGGGGGCATGAGATGTGCGAACAACGGCGGGGTCGTCGAATGACCTTCACGAGCGCAGCGTGCTCGCACACGGCCCTTTTGGTCGATCTGCTGCTGGACGAAGGCCTTTCCCATTTTTCCCATGCTGGTCGAGTCAAGTTTATTTAATTTAACCAGGTGAGCGCTCAGGAGACTGGAATAGTCTCATTTGCAAGTGTGACCTGGACCACCGAAATAACTAAAAAAGCAAAACAAATAAAATCTAATCTGCGGGATGGTGAAGGCAGGGGACGTGGACAACGTTTGTTGCCATTGTTCTTTAATGACTGAAGGCGTCTCTGATAATAGTATCAGCGACTTCTGTGTATGACTGTAGCCATGAAGACAAAGCCTTCTCCATCAATACGCACGCGAGTTGATTAAAAGTGGCGAAGGTGTAGGGAACATATTCTCTGGATTATAAGACGCTCCAAAAAAGTTAAATACACCCAAACAAGGTACCTGCTGACAAATAAAATTATACAAATTTGGTCACACACACGCACCTAGAAAAGTAAAAGATGCACTATGTATTTAAAATAGAGGGAAAGACAATCTATCTTATAATTCAGAGAATGCAGTAATTGCTCAGATCCATGCATGACGACATACTACAGCTGGGCTTGAAATTACCTGCGAACACGCCCAGGAAGACGTAGAGCATCTCAATGCTGGTGGCAAAGGAGGCCATTATGAACCCCGCGGAGGAGAAGAGACCCCCAGCCATCACTGTGGCACGGCACCCAAAGTGACTGCTAAGGAGGCTCCCAATCGGTGCTGGAAAAAAAAAACAAATACAGCATACACGTATTGGGTATATTGTGATAGTCGACAGACAATAGTGAATTAAAGAAATGTAGTCAGAATTTAAGAAATGTAGTCACATGAGATAGGAGTGTAGCAAAATAAGTGTAATGTATGTATGTTGAACTTCTTTCACACCGTATGTAGCCAACTATGTTAAATGGATATGTAAACAAGAGATGGCGATGGACTGAGATGAGAGAAGACAGAAGCAGACGAGATAGGCATGACAGAGATATTTTTTGTTATGTTAATTCGCTGGTCTCCCTTATTAGTGTTTTAATTCGAGCTGATGTTTGGTTTACCCCTATTTTTTCATGAATCCGGGGTCAATTGCACCACTTGGGTCCCCTGTGCTTTTGCTGAGTTTGTTTCTGCCAAGTGCCACCACTTAGCTGTGGGTTTCCCATCCCTGCCGTATTGCCTCCTTTCCATATCAACAAACAGCCACCAATGTTCTTAGACTTAAACCCACATATTTGCTGGAGACGGGCAGTAGTTCACCTAATAAAAGGGATACTAGAGACAGTTACCATTCTATACCACAAGTCAAAAACAACTTGGCTGCCCTCTGTAGCTACAGGGATTTAGAGCATGGGTTGCTGCATTAATGTAGATGTTGTGCAGCCCCTATTTCCTTCCATAATACAGGCTTTATTTGGTTAGATCGCGTGAATATATAAATGTGTCATTAAACCCGCCACCACCCGACAGAGCCAATTGTAAGGTTTGTTACGTAAACAGAACATGCCAATTCGTTACTAGTACAGCACACCGGTGTGTTGGAAAACAAAGCCACAAAATTGACAATCTGAGTCCGACTTCTCGCCAGTAATTACAACCGGCATCATCAGGCAGCAACCAGATTTGTGGACAAATCCTCCTGTTTCGTTCCTTAAATAGAGGGGTAGATGTTGATGACGCCACTTGTGAGCCCTTCTTGAGGGAAGTGGGGGGGGGGGTTAATGAATGCATATAATCTTGATTTGAAGTTTTCGTGACTGCAGGAATCCATACTCTTTGGTTCTTTCGGTAAAATCACGTAGGTAGAAATAAAATCAAATAAATCAAATCACGACGTTTCGATCGCAACACAAGCGAACTTCATCAGGTGGGACAACCACAGCAAGAAAATGCTGAAGTCGGTGGGAGAGCTGCCGTGGCAAGTGGTTATATAGGTAAGAAAGAAGGGAGGAGGCAAGGGGGGAGAGAGAGAGGGGGGGGGTGTGGGGTAGGGGGGGGCGCGGGAGCGCTAGGGGCAGAGGACGTGAGGTTGGAGGGGGGAAGTGGGCAGGGCTAGCAGTGGGAAGGTGGTGGAAGACAAAAGAGGACATGAGGCTGGGGGGATATGTGGGCAGGGCTAGCAGTAAACAGGCAGGTACGATGGAAACAACAACAACAACAACAAGTTAAGGCATTACCTGGTTGATAACATCCTTCCAATGATTGTTCAATTTCTTGCTGTGGTTGTCCCATCTGATGAAATTCGCTTGTGTTGCAATCGAAACGTCGTGATTTGATTTATTTTATTTCTACCTACGTGACTTTACCGAAAGAACCAAAGAGTATGAATGCATATAAATTACAATGGGTTATCCATTGCCCGGTGGGTTATTTATCAACATACATTATGCATGCATATTAATGTAAGCCCATTGTTCTTGTACCTCCTGTCGCTTATGTGCACTAAAGTAGCAGTACCCGTTATTGTCTGTTCACAGGTAATCTACAATCACATGTGTTGACTTGTATAGGCATGGATTTAAACAATGTAGTATTTGATTATTCACTTCCTTGTTAAACAGTTTCTGAGCACAGGTGCAGAGGCACAACATGTCAAGCGGGCAGCAACGAACAGACGCAATCGGTAAGAATTTGAGATATTTGACACACCCCTGTTTGTTTCAATAACCTGGGGCGCTCCCAAATGCATGTCGCTAATTCCAGGATGATCCTTGGAACCTGACCTCACGACAGAACGTGAATGTGAGAAGGTAAATTCTGAACAATGAAAATGGCGTACCACACAGCATGGTGAGGCAGTCCACCATCGAGTTAATCCACGCTGTGGTGGCATAGTCCTTCTGAAAGTGGCTCTGAAACTCCATGAAGAAGATTGAGATGCATCTGCAAACCAGCATCGACAAAAAAACCCACGTTATTTCGGCACGCTGTCTTAACCTTTACGATATAACACAAATAATGAGGTCTGCGCAAACTTAAAACACGTACAACACTATAATTATATAATCTATTGACAGTGTTTCGAGTTTACCAACTGGCATATGCATTTTTTTTAAATCATGTATGTGTATATTTCAAGCACTTTGTCAATCCACTACTGTAGGGCTATTTGACCATACTTCACCACGCTGGTTAGTTTGCGTTGGTGTAGGAACGGAGCATAGCTGTGGGTGCATAGAAGTACAGAACAACAAATGAATGTTGCTACACTTTTGCTGCCCACCATGTGGGCCCCACAGCCTATAACACCCGTTATGCATGGCGGCCGCCCACCCAAGTACCATCCAGACTCAAACCTGCTTATCTTCTGAGATTGGAAGATATTCAGGGTGATTCTATGCTTGTTTCTGTTGCAGAAACTGTACAGTACATACAAATGTGAACATTGTATGTCAATAAATCAGCACATAAAGCGAGTGAGGATGACGGAGTGACCGACGCTAATAATATCCATGTGCCAATGAGACAGAGGCATGGAGTTTCCCACTTTGGAGTCATTGGGGTCACGGAGTCCAAAACATGATGTCTGCCTCTAGCTGACATAACTTTACTGTTTTCAGCCCTTTGTTAATCCACTGCTAGATGACAGCCACACCATGCTGTGTCAGTCATGCGGTTGTTTGATTATATTTCACCAGATTGGTCAGTGTAGGTTGGTGACTCAGGACCGGTTCAGACATCACTCGCCACTAATGTTGCTGTGGCCAGGAATCGAAGTCAGGTCGCCAGATTTGCATCGCAAGGTATAGACCACTGAGCCACCTCTCCAGCCCCTGCCTACGTATTTATAACAACAATGAAGAGAGGAGTGGTGGTACAGCAGGTAGTGTACTCTGGCATGAACCTAGCTGCCCACGTTTGATTCCTATACACATATAATATCAGTGGTGATTTATATCGGAACCAGTTCTGGGCTCTTCCCCTTCACAGACACTGACAAGCACAGTGAAGTATGGTGAAACAACCCCTCATGACTAAAATATATGGGGAAGACCTTCATCTAGCAGTAGACTGACAAAGTAGTGTAAAATCAAAAATATATTATTATCCTGAAGCTTATTGAACTTAGATTTAACTTGTTTATGGACATTTAAAAATGTCAAAAACTCACCAAGTTAAAACACTTTAATTTATGAACGCAGATCGATTAGTGTCGGCAAAACAGATTCCGAAAAAACTAATTTCAGACTCAAAAGTGAGCACACGTAATAGGCATGCTTTTCAGATAAAAACACATTTTCGAATTTCGGATGATTGACACTGTTATATATTTACTTGTCTTTGGGCTCACAACTGTGACGTCACTTGAAACCACTCGAAAACATTTTTAGCAGGAAAACAGCAGAAATTACGTCACATCGTCCAAAACATTGCATCTCAACCTGATATAAGATATTTTTGGATTCATATGAAAATTAGGAGTAAAGTACTAAAATATCTGCCACTGGTAATAAGGCATCCACATTTCTAGATGCAGTGCTAATTGCTCTAGAACATTACATATTCAAATATAAGGATCCTGACTGGGTGGCATTAAAAAGTTAATATCAACACAAATGTGTACTTAATTATATACGCATGGCCCTTTGTCAATACTGTACATTGCTGGATGGACAAGGGCCTCCCCATACCGGTTGGGTCATGAATGTCATTTGACCATACTTCACCGCGCTGGTCAGTGTGGGTTGAAATAGGGAACATAGATGTGGAAGAGAATTAAAAGTACAGTACAACCATGGATTTTGCTACACTGCCTTCTGCTACCAACCACTTATAGCAGTTGCCCATCCAAGCACGATGCAGACTCGACTTTTCTTAGCTTTCGAAATCTGACCAGATTTTGGTCATCAGTAGTTAATCATATTTTTATTATTACTAAACATTATCTGTAACATTTGAAAGATATCAAACTACTATCTCCCCTACATTTTATCATTCTCCATGGTTATCATGTCCATTTCTATGAAATCTATGACGTTTAATTTCGATTTAACCATCATATATTTAATAATCTATGACAGTTGTTTGTTTAGAGCTTGCCACTATTATTTTCAGTGTGTGGCCATTTGCTGCTAGTATCATGGTTCGTCCTCATCATCAGCCATGGTCAATCCACTGTTGGATGAAGCCCTCCCCAAGGCACCTACACCTCTCATGATCATGTGATGTAATAATCCACCCAGCATGCAATGTTTACAAAGGTCAAAACCCACATGGCCATATTTCAGCAAATCGCAGAGTTATAACACAGATGGATGAATGCGCTAAAAGCAGGAAATGCTATGTATATGAAAATTTCAGTTACTTTTAAAGAGATATAGTTTGAAAACAACTGAAAATATATGCTGAATAAAATGTACATCCAAAGATAAAATGCATGACCAATTCAATATTATAAATAATTAGTCTAAAATAGATAGGTTTGCCCAACCTGTTTTATGTCTGGCCCTATTCATAAGCAGTGCCCAGCAACAGTGTGACTCGTCGTAGCCAATTGACCCACTGCTCGTGTGACACGGGATACCATGCATAGTTTTGTAATGCAGAATTTGTGAAGGGGACATTTGGAAAGTGAAACCTACATTGGGGTTCTTCAGTAAGCGATACTCAACAAGCTCGGCCGCCCAGAAATATGATTTACACTGCTGGAAAAAAAAATTTTAGATGCTATATTCTCACTTTGCTTAATCTGGCAATGTTAACGTATGAAGAAGAATAAAATTACAATGAAATATTTAACCCGCATGACCCATGTGGTGTGAGGGAGGGCCCTAGTCCAGCAGTGGATGAGTACAACGGCTGTGCTGTGCAGTTACACTTTGTTTTAGATTCGATGCCAATGCTCTGCAGGTTTATTTTAAACTTGGGAGATAGATATCTGCTTTTGGATACATTTTGCAGATTGCTTTAACTGACTGCGTTCATATTATTTAAGTTGTGTTATTTATGTTGTCATTTAGATTGCTGAAATGTTTGCTCATGAGATATCTAATAAACGAGGCAATTGAAGCCAACACGGTTCCAAAATTCCGAATGATACAGAAATTGAGGTGTACACCAAGCAGCTCTAAGCAGCATTTCAATGACAAGCAACCCATTGATCCTCCTGTCTTGCACATTCGGTGACACTCACACAAGCTGCTGAGCTAACGTGGCAGTGATCCTTTACACGCGTTGAGGTCAAGTCTACCGCTTATTGCATAGACGATTTGGAAATACTTAACTGTGCCGTTTAACAAATTGACAAGTCTTCAGCAAATTCCTGACTGCCGTGGACAGCCGTGTCTATAAAAAGAGTTGCAGTTATATTGGGGAGACTGTAGCCGCAGACTCAAATTCTTGATTGACTTGCCCAGTGACGTGAATGGGCTGTGAAACTCACGCAGAATCATGTGCAGTGCCGCGGTGGTGAGATGTTAACTGCCTCGCCTGGTTTACAGAAGTTCGTGGGTTCGATCCCGATCCTGATGGCTGTACGTTTTTATGCACATGGCTGCATGAGACAAATTGTACTACAGCTGTAGTGGGATTCAGGATTGGAAAGAATCAAGTGGTTTCTTGCACCGCATAACTGAGATGAAAACAAGGATAACAGTCCACACACAAGCCCACAATGCATACACAGGAGAATACATGTCCTTGTGAATATTAATGCAGGGCAGGATACAAGTGTAACGACATAAATGGTGCCTATGGTGCCAGTGGATGTACTAAACCTAAGGGCTCACTAGAGGGCAGATTCCAGATGTCACAGAGGTCGGGTCAGGACATGACAGTCTGGGTGAACCCGCGAGAGCACGTGACCGGACGAGGGGGCACGTGACTGGACGAGGGGGCACGGGGACCCCCAGAAGGGGGTGAGCGGGCCCCGTGACGTGGACCCAGAGCCTCCGCGAAGGATCGAGAAGGGGAGATCTCAGCCGAGTCCCGAGAGGGAACGGGGCAGTTTGACCCGGGAATGAAGCCGCCTTCTTCGATCCTCACTCTTCGGTCTTCGCACACGACGACCCGACGGCGTGTCGGCTGTTCTGGTTCCACCATATAGTGATTCCGTTCAAGTGGTTAGGTGGTTAGGAACGGTGGCCACCACCTTACGTAGTGGATTCGTAATGTACATAATTACCCGGAATGTACATAGTTAACCTTGTAACGTTGAGCAGTGTTGGTTGTGTTAGTGAATAAACGTGTTGCCTACAAATATTATGCATTGAATCCTAGTGTCCGTTTGAAATCCCCTCTATCTGCACACAGAACCTCTACAGTGCAGTAATGCTATGATATTATATAATGCACTAAAAATATACTACTTTAATACAACATACTTTAAAATTCTCCATGTTCTCAACCTGTTTTGACTGCATGATACGATTGAGATGACAACAATAAGGATGATGATATCAGTAAGCATTATTATAAACCTTTTTTTACATATAATTATTATGGTAGTGGTGAATGTAGTTGGGACTTAGTAGTAATCACAAGTAGGAAATTTAAATTGCAAATCAATGAGAAGAATAATGCAATTGTGAGGTCAACGGTATATTACTTGTTATAGGGAAACTGGCATCCACCATTGGAATGTGGAAATTCCACAAATGGAGCAGGGTCTGCAGTGAAAATGAGTGCTGTTCCAATGATAGTCAGAGAAAGAACAGGCATTGACGCTTGACTTGGAAGAGCACGTGAAGAGCTCTTATCCATCGTGATGTGGGGGACCAATACCGTGGATCCTATATAATTGATGGGTAAACCAAAAACTGACTCCACATATCCGTGGGAAGAAAAAATGCAGATGATCGCAAATATTTGAACAAGTTTTCCAATGAGCTCATTCATACCCACAAAAAAATTGCAAAGCAGGACTGGAATATCCGTAGATAACTGTGGAATAGGAAGAATATGGCCATGGATAACAGGAGTTTTCACGAACCCTACAGCTCATGCTGATAATAGGGCACCACGGTGGAGATGTTAACTCCCTCGCCTGGTATGGAGGAGGTTGTGGGTTTGATCCTGACCCTGACGAACATGTAGTGACATCACTGGATGTCACCATGTTGTGGGTGTAGTACCGGCCCTAGAGGGGCACGGTGTGCGTTGAGTAATAGTGCAGTTCCGGCCCTACAGGACACGGTGTGTGGGTGCCGACCAAAGGGAAAGGTCGTGTGAGGCCATGGCACTCTGGCTAGAGGGGTCACATGATAGGGACCCAGGTCCTTCCCGATGGTTCTGGAAGGTGGACGTGGCCAAGGACGAGCCGGCCATGCCGCAGAGAATATAAGCCGGGTCCCGAGAGGGACCAGGGTTGTTCATCCTGGGAAAAGAACCCTTCATCTACGATCTCCGTTCTACGAGTCTTCCAGCACGTGGACCCGGGCAAATGCTGTTGGTCCCCGGTCCGAAGTAACAGTTACGTGGTAACTAGTGTAGTTAGCCGGGTGGTCACCACCGAGGTTGTTATTCTGTTAAGGCGAAGTTACCCCGTGTGTTGGAACTAAATAAATGCGCTGCCTCCAAAATCGACGTCTGCGACTCAGTTGAACCCACTTCACCTGTATTTTTAGAGTTTCCATGTTCTCCCTGTGGTCATGTGGCTTTTTCTCCGGGTCCTCCGGTTTTTCCCTCCAAATTTAGAATCAACGTCCTATAAATTTCCATGTGATAAGCCACTTTGTTGGGCTATCGTTTGTGGCCAGGTCGCTTCTGAAAAAGAGCATTACAGCTTAGTGGGCCTTACCTGGTAAAATAAAAAATATATATATAGTACAGTTTTATCATAGCTGGTAATGAAGACGTGGACATAATGACATGGAAACAACAACAACGATGGTAGCGCGCAGGTGCTTGTTGGCAACTGCGGTCGCGACGTGGTTTGACGCGCCCACCTGGTGACGGCGCGCGTGCAGACGTTGACGATGAAGCAGGCGAGGACCACCATCCAGCCCCACCCCCCATCAGGGGGCTGTGGCAGCACCGACCCTCGGCCCCGCATGCTCGCTCAGTGCCGCGGCCGCTGTCCACGTCTGATCAGCACCACCGCCGCCCCTCGCACTTCTCCACTGGGGTTCAGCGCCGCTTGGGCTCGCGCGACATTGCCGCGGCCCCCAACCCTGCGGGGATAAAGGGAAGACAAAATGTTTGCATCTTATGAAATAACATTTCCTTTTTTTCAGAATTACACGTAAACATTTTTTCATTTGCCCCAATTTTATCACGATTGTGCTCTAGGTATCATGGCACGAGACAAGATATTCATACGGGTCTCTCACAGAACTGTCCTCTGAGATTCCTTCCAATGAACTCTGTTGCATAGTCAGCACTTTCCCACCCGCTTCGAATGAGAGTCAAACCAATGTTATATTTCTATATTACATGTAGAACCAAATTAATGTGATGAGGTTTGTTTTGTGCAGTCACTGGTGACCTGGTTAAATCACAGGCAATTTCCTGGATTTGCACCCAGGATCTCAGCGGTTCCGAACACAGCCCTCTGACCTCTGAGCTACCCAGCCTACACACACAATTAAATATAAAATTACCTTCCAAATAGTAATAATAGGTGCATTCGCTCTTTCTCTCCCCCGGCCGCTTCGGGGTGGATTTCCACACAACTCTCTCATTGACATGCTAATTTCTCTGCTCCAGCAGACCCACCTCTCCCTCTGCCCCACCCCCTCTCTCTATTTAAGGCCAGGACACAGAGGCATTGGGTCTCTGTGTGCCTCTGTGTTGTCTCTCTCTGCTTGTGTGTCTGTTTGTGTGTCTCCATGTCTGTGTTTTGTCTCTCTCTCAAATTTAGTTCTACCCGATGATGGCTGCTTGTGTTGCAATCGAAACGTTGTATTCTATTATTTAATTTATTTTCTTTCTACGTTACTTTACCGAAAGAACCAAAGAGTAATTCCTGCAGTTACGAAAGCTTCAAATCAAGAAATAATAATTTCCAGCCCGACGTTAACACAATGCTGGGTGAAGGCTTTCTAACATTATCTTGGCATTTGAGGTTGTTTGAACATACTTCACTACACTGGTTAATCCAGCTAGGTGAATAAATGGCCCAGGATCTATTCAGATATCACTCGCCACTGCTGTTAGTGATACTCAGGTCCCTGGGGTTTAGACAGCCATGTGTTAACCAATGCCTCACTGATCCACCCTTTAAAACATCAATTTCATTTTAAAAAAGCCACATTGCATGCCTTCTACTGTGTCAGTTTACAAGGGTCTTGACAATTCAACCCTCGTTCCACTCAGCAATTTTACAAGGTGATATTAAATCATACAATCTGCTCCAAGGTTATACGCGTTCAAGATAATGCATCTTAATTTGCAAGCCAAAGCCATCATACAATGACTCACGTGCAAAAAAACGCTTCCTTTAGTCGGCATGGTGAGTGTGATTACAATTTTAAAATATATAATAAACATTAACACAAGATAAATGTGTTCCCAAGAAAGGAATTGACATTGTGCGTGTGATTCTGGATGCTGCTGTGGTGTAAGTGTAGTGAGTTCAACTGAATGGCAGACGTATACTTGGAGGCAACACATTTATTTAACTCCAACACATGGGGTAACTTCCCCTTAACAGAATAACAACCCATGGTGGTGACCACCAGGCTAACTACACTAACTAAAACGTAACTAGCTACTATGGACTGGGACCACAGCTCGGGTCCAGGTCTACGTGTTGGAGACTCGTTGAGCGTAGAACGTTGACGAAGGTTTCTTCGGAATTAACAACAATGCCGGTCCCTCTGGGGACCTGGCTTATATTCTCTGCGGCGTGGCCGGCTCCGCCCTTGGCCACGACCACCTTCCAGAATCCTTGGGAAGGATCTGGATGCTAACCACGTGGCCACCCCGTGTCCCCACTTGGGCCCTTTTGTAGACTTAACTGGTCACGTGTCCTCTCGGGTCAACCAGAGTGCCATGGCCTTTAGTAACCTCATTCCTACGGCTGGTACTTATCAATCAGCGCTCACCGGGCCCCTCTAGGGCTGGTACAACACCCACTCTCTTGTGGCGTCCGCGATGTCGTTACACCGCATGCCGTGCCTCTCTAGGGCCGGCACTGCAGAGTGACATCCCTAGATGTCACTACATCAACCCCCCCCCCCCGCTTCGTAGCACTCAGCCGTCATGGCTGTCAACTCCCCCTCAACAAAAAAAATGAAACCCCTTAGTGTGCATCAACAAATAAATACCCCAACCCACCTATACAATATGTACAATATATACAGAACATACAGTAACTCTATATTCTTGGTTCTTTTGGTAAAATAATTAAATAGAAAATACAAATATTATACAAATAAAAGCAAAACATGTCTTTAATTTACATTTTTATTTATTTTCTATCTACGTGACTTTACCAAAATAACCAAGAATATGAATTCCTGCAGTCACGACAGTCAAAATGTATACAGTAACTAATGGGGAAAGGGGACGGAAGTACAGAACAACAATAGGCAAAAACAAAGGAAGAGAAAGAGAAAAAAAAACAAACGGAGTAACACGCAAAACCTTGGGACCCCCTCCAGCACCAGCATATCCCACCCTCACCGTGTAACAACACCCGCAAGCACAATAAAGGCCAGGTTGAGCCAATAACCAATACGGCCTGCCGAGTGCGACAACCAACTGACGGTGTGGGAGCATGTGTGTATGGGGATCACGAAAGCCAAAGAGTCTTTGATCAAGTCCTTGTGGCCGGGAGAGGTGGGCTTACTCTCCATGGGGGTGCCGGGGGGAATTTTAAAATGTCCCATCGAACCTGGCTCCTCACGAAGAGCAATCGGCCGGGCAGACGGGCCTTCCTCTTCCGAATCTTGTGGAGACGGCGCAGGTGGCGGCTTGGGGGACGTTAAACGCACAGCACCTGAGGACGGGATCACATGACTCCCCTGAGGACCAACCTCAGTGGGTAGACACCTCAGCTCGCTGGACACATCTGACACTCGGCCCCTGCGTAGTGGAGATAGGATTAATTAACGTGGTGCGATGAAAGGCTGGAGGCGAGAGGGATGTACAAACCAACTCCGCCGACCCCAGCGAATTTGAACGCACTGGGGCCGTTCGACCCGAATCACATCAACCGGCCCCCTCCAGGGTTTAAATAATTTGGGTGACGTACCCACTGGTACCTGGGGACAGTGCAGCCAGGCTCTGTCCCATGGAGCTCACTCATGTGTAGAAAGACGGAGACCCCTCAGCCGATCATTTGCCAATTGGCGCGAATGGGAATTTTCTCTGGAAGCCTCACACGCTTCCGAAAGCCTACGATGGGTAAAACGCATGGACTCCGAAATTTTAGACTTAGCCTTGTTTGGCTCGGCTCGTAATTGGACATCAATTGGGGGGTCGTGTTCTCTTCCGTACATTAAAAAAAATGGTGAGTAGCCGGTGGACGCGTGAGAGGCCATTCTATAGGCAGCCAGGACCCTGGGAACATGCAAGTCCCAGTCAAGCTGGGACTCGCTGACCTGATGGCTCAACATGGAAGCCTCCTCCTCCGCCCCTCAATGGAACACCTGACCCTTTGCCATCAAGGCGTGGAGAGGTTTGACGATAGTTGCGAACCCGGTGACAAAACTGCTATCTTACTAACAAAATAACGTTTGGCCACTTCCGACACCAGTTGAAGTGAGTTCAACTGAGTCGCAGACGTATACTTGGAGGCAACACATTTATTTAACTTCAACAAATGGGGTAACTTCCCCTTAACAGAATAACAACCTATGGTGGTGACCACCAGGCGAACTACACTAATTACAACGTAACTGCTGCTACAGACCGGGACCACAGCTCGGTTCCAGGTCCACTTGTTGGAGACTCGTTGAGCGGAGAACGTAGAACGTTGATGAAGGTTTGCGAGGGACGAACAACAATGCCGGTCCCTCTGGGGACTTGGCTTATATTCTCTGCGGCGTGGCCGGCTCCGCCCTTGGCTACGACCACCTTCCAGAATCGTCGAAAAGGATCTGGATGCTAACCACGTGACCACCCCTAGCCCCCACTTGGGCCCTTTTGTAGACTTAACTGGTCACGTGTCCTCTCGGGTCAACCAGAGTGCCATGGCCTTTAGTAACCTCATTCCTATGGCCGGCACTCCCACCCTGTCCTGTAGGGCTGGCACTGCACGCCAAGCGTGGTGCCATCTAGCGCTAGCTATCAATCAGCGCTCACCGGGCCCCTCTAGGGCTGGTACAACACCCACACCCTTGTGGTGTCCGCGATGTCGTTACACCGCATGCCGTGCCTCTCTAGGGCCGGCACTACATAAGTGTTAGCGCACTGGACTTGCAATCCAGACGTCACCGGATAATTTTCCTGGCACAGCAGTTGAACAAATGGGAAAGTGTCTTAAATCTTACCTCCTATGTCCATCCAGCAATAGCAATACCGATTATTTTAAGTTCCATCCTTTGGCACAAGGGGACTTTCAGAGCTGTGCCAGTATTTCATTTTCAGGCTAACTTTTACTGCTTCAACATTCTTGTTCATTCTGGAATACGCAATACGAATTACAAATTTAAAGCTCCATTAAGGAGGTTTTTGGTGTTTTTACCTTTAGCATACTTGGTTGCCAAATCCTATGAGAAATCTTTATCCAGGAATGTCACACTCATTTACAAACGATTTTCAGGATGGGCTTGCATTAGGATGCTTGGACAATTCCATAAATGAGTGTTTGGAATTAAACAGGAGTTGCCCAAAGAAAACCCATACAATAGCAGAGATAACACTCAAAACATCCACACCGATTAATTCAATACAATTGCTGTGCTGCCCACTTCAGATGCACTTCTGCGACCATCTGGAACGCTCGTCCTTCCGATATTCAGAAGCCACTGAAGCTATGCACTTTTAAATCTAGACTGAAAACTAATTTCTTTAGAATTGCTTTGTGCATTTAGTTTGTTGTCCTTCCCCTGCACCTCCAATTAGCACGGTTGCCTACGTATGGTGCGAAAGAAGTTCAACGTACATACATATGTACACACATACATTAAAAACGGACTACAATTGCTATGCTGCCACCCCCTGCCCCACTTGCAGCCCAGTGAGTGTGGAAGTCTCGCCAATCTGCATGATCCATAAACCCTCCAATGTGGGTTGTACTGTGTACTGTTCGGCATGTCTGACATTTCGCCGCACGTGCTGGGAACTTGTTCAGTGACTCGATTCAGTTAATTTAGTTCCTCAAGAAGCTTCTAGCACGTGAGGTGAAACATTGGACATCATGTGGAACAACACGCGGTACAAACTAAAAACATGTTGGAGAAATGTACAGTGGTATCCACCAATACCAACCCTTTCTTCAAAGTGCTTCTGCCAGGCACAGTGTGCCACTACACATGGCATTGCAGCAATGTATTATTTTTTAAAAGGTTGTCACCATATTGTTCAGATTATAAGGCACTCCAAAAAGTAATGCACAACCCAAATGTGTGGGAAGTGTCAACAGGGTCTGTTTAAGAAATCTCATCAGTACGGTGCGAAAGAAGTTCAACATACATTCGTACATCGCACCAAAACAAATAAGTAAGTACCCCCCCACTTCTGCTTTAATACAGAGGAGAGGGCAGGGGGGAAAGTAAGTGTTATATTCTGGATAATACTGTAATTACACGTTTTAAACTTATTTTCTTAAACATCAGCCCTGGAAAGTGACAACGCCACTGCTAGCAGGTGGCTTTCCATTTTTCGTGGCAGCTACAGTGAGGGAAAAAACGTCTTTGATCCCCTGCTGAGTTTGTACGTTTGCCAACTGACAAAGAAATGATCAGTCTATAATTTTAATGGTAGGTTTATTTAAACAGTGAGAGACAGAATAACAACAACAAAATCGAGAAAAACGCATGTCAAAAATGTTATAAATTGATTTGCATTTTAATGAGGGAAATAAGTATTTGACCCCCTCTCAATCAGAAAGATTTCTGGCTCCCAGGTGTCTTTTATACAGGTAACGAGCTGAAATTAGGAGCACACTCTTAAAGGGAATGCTCCTAATCTCAGCTTGTTACCTGTATAAAAGACACCTGTCCACAGAAGCAATCAATCAATCAGATTCCAAACTCTCCACCATGGCCAAGACCAAAAAGCTCTCCAAGGATGTCAGGGACAAGATTGTAGACCTACACAAGGCTGGAATGGGCTACAAGACCATTGCCAAGCAGCTTGGTGAGAAGGTGACAATAGTTGGTGCGATTATTCGCAAATGGAAGAAACACAAAATAACTGTTAATCTCCCTCGGCCTGGGGCTCCATGCAAGATCTCACCTTGTGGAGTTGCAATGATCATGAGAACGGTGAGGAATCAGCCCAAGGCAGCTGGGACCATAGTCACCAAGAAAAAATTGGTAACACACTCTTTGGTTCTATTCGGTAAAGTCACGTAGGTAAAAAATAAAACAACAAAAATCACGACGTTTCGGCCACAAAACAAGTGGCCTTCATCAGGTGAAGGGACCAAACTGTCTCTCCAGCGCTGTCCTCGAGACAGTCTGGTCCCTTTACCTGATGAAGGCCGCTTGTGTTGTGGCCGAAACGTCGTGATTTTTGTTGTTTTATTTTTTACCTACGTGACTTTACCGAATAGAACCAAAGAGTATGGATCCTTGCCGTCACGAAAGCTTCAAATCTAGAATTGGTAACACACTACGCCGTGAAAGACTGAAATTATGCAGCGCCCGCAACGTCCCCCTGCTCAAGAAAGCACATATACATGCCCGTCTAAAGTTTGCCAATGAACATCTGAATGATTCAGAGGACAACTGGGTGAAAGTGTTGTGGACAGATGAGACAAAAACGGAGCTCTTTGGCATCAACTCAACTCGCCGTGTTTGGAGGAGGAGGAATGCTGCCTATGACCCCAAGAACACCACCCCCACCGTCAAACATTGAGGTGGAAACATTATGCTTTGGGGGTGTTTTTCTGCTAAGGGGACAGGACAACTTCACCGCATCAAAGGGACGATGGACAGGGCCATGTACCATAAAATCTTGGGTGAGAGCCTCCTTCCCTCAGCCAGGGCATTGAAAATGGGTCGTGGATGGGTATTCCAGCATGACAATGACCCAAAACACACGGCCAAGGCAACAAAGGAGTCGCTCAAGAAGAAGCACATTAAGGTTCTGGAGTGGCCTAGCCAGTCTCCAGACCTTAATCCCATAGAAAAAACTGTGGAGGGAGCTGAAGGTTCGAGTTGCCAAACGTCAGCCTCGAAATCTAAATGACTTGGAGAAGATCTGCAAAGAGGAGTGGGACAAAATCCCTCCTGAGATGTGTGCAAACCTGGTGGCCAACTACAAGAAACGTCTGACCTCTGTGATTGCCAACAATGGTTTTGCCACCAAGTACTAAGTCATGTTTTGCAGAGGGGTCAAAAACTTATTTCCCTCATTAAAATGCAAATCAATTTATAACATTTTTGACATGCGTTTTTCTGGATTTTCTTGTTGTTATTCTGTCTCTAACTGTTCAAATAAACCTATCATTAAAATTATAGACTGATCATTTATTTGTCAGTGGGCAAACGTACAAAATCAGCAGGGGATCAAATACTTTTTTCCCTCACTGTAAGTAAGCGAGCGTGCGAGTAAAACACACCACAAATGAGTCAAACCATTCACCACAAGTGAGTGAAACCATTCACCACGAGTGAGTCAAAACATTCACCACAAGTGAGTCAAACCATTCACCACAAGTGAGTAAAACCATTCACCACAAATGAGTCAAAACACTCACCACAAGTGAGTCAAACCATTCACCACAGGCGAGTCAAAACACTCACCACAAGTGAGTCATACACTCACCATAAGTGAGTAAAACCATTCACCACAAGTGAGTCAAACACTCATTACAAGTGAGTCAAA